TTTTTTTTTTTTTTTTTTTTGAAACACGTGACATCTTTAGTTTAAACTTATATTTAGAATGAGAGTACTAAAAGCAAACAAAGCAATAAAAAAAAAAACAATAGCAAATGAAAAAAGCTCTTATTCGTACTGATGATCTCTCAAAGATGTTGTGAGATTCATCGGTAATACGCCATTTGTCTAGATGACATAAATGGTGACGAAGTAACAGGTTTCTTCTTAGTCTTCTTCTCGACTTTGGTTTCAGACCGAAGCCAATTTTCAACCACAGAGAGCAAATTTGGTGACGTTTCTAAATCCTTGATCTCTTTCAGTTTAGCAGAGAGTTTCAGTTCTCCTCCATGGATATATGCCAAATGACTAGCCCATGTCTCTAGTCCGTCGAAAATATGCGTTGCATATACAATTGTAGCTCCTCTCTGATTAATAAACAAAAAACTAAATCACCATTTGATGTTTTTAACCTCGAATTAGAGAATTGACTTACCTGTTTACATTCTTCTTTGAAGAATTCCAACAAATCCATCCTAGCAACAACGTCGAGGTCCACAGTGACCTCATCTAGTAATAATACCTGTGATCACAAATCACATTATCAATTTACAGAAACAGAGACCAAGATGAATGTATTCTGTAGCTTTAATAGCAATTGATAAAGAATGTATTACCTTGAATGGATGTAAAAGACCCATGCATATCTGCACACGACGTCTTTGCCCATCGGAAACTTTATGCATACGCCACTGAAGGTTGATATCAAGAAGATCAATCAGTTTCTCTCTTCTCACAGGATCAATCCCTTCAACTGCTTGGAGAAAAAACAAACAAAACAGTTCACGAAGTGTCTTCAGAAGATGAAAAAAGTATCAGATTAGGACAGGGAATATTACCTCCAAATATCATATGTTCAGCTGAGAAATCTCCTTGGAGAGGAATCTCACCCTATAACACAGAAAATATCAAAATAATTAGAAACACTTCACTAGTGTCTTCTGTACGGTGCTTTAAAAAAAAAACATCAGATGTTTACTAACAGCAGAACCAGCGGTTTTACTCCAAGAACCTCCAAGGTAAGATAAGTCACCACTACAAACAAGATCTGTGTCGTGAAAGGCAGAGCGATTCAGCACTTTCACAATGTTTTTCCCTCCAACCATATGCTTTCCTGCTAGAATCTTCAGTAAAGTAGTCTTGCCTGAAAAGAAAAAAAGCAAAGAATGTACAATCACATTATTGATTATTCCCTCCATTTCAATTTAGACTAAAATTTTCTTTTTTAAATAAATGTCATTTTATAATTTTAATACAAAACTTATTAATTTTATTTACTATTATATTTTTCTATTGGTTAAAATGTGATTATTTGTATAAATAATTGTGTGTTTTTTTTTAAAATATACCAAATTAAATATTTTTTTAAATCTGGATTCAAAATCTTAAAACTACAAATAAATTGAAACGGAATGAAATGAGTATTAAACATTAAACTTAACCGAAACTAAACCGGCAAATCAAGCCCAACAGAACCAAAATAACTACATCACTAATGTCTCAAACTAATCCAAAAAAAAAACAAGATTCAATTACTGTTCAAACGCAATCTAAATCCTTAACTGTAAAATCGACCTAAACAAAAACAGAAAAAGCAATTTAATTTACCAGATCCATTAGCACCAACCAAGAGGCAACGAGATCCAGCGGGGAGATCGAGGTTGAAATCAAAGAAAATAGGATCCGTGACTTCGTAAGAAAACTGCATTCCACTAACCCTAATCGCACCGTCGCCTCTCGCCGTCGCATCTTTCTCCGCCATTTTTTGAGGATCAAACAGACAGAAAGAATGAAAAGAGAGAAGTTCGTTATTACTCTGGTGACCGACGATTTTCCCTCCGCTAATTCGATCTATTTAAATACGCTGCGTTTTTGAAGTAAGACTTGTTTAAACCATTAGATTTCGGCCACGTCATGTAACTTTTTGGTCCATTAGATTTACATACTTTAGTCTTCCTTCAAATCGTCATACGTTTAACCAGCGTAAGGCTGCCACGTCAGTGAATGGTACTTCATCGACAAAACAATAAAGCGACGCCGTATTAAACAGGTAGATGTTCTCATTGTTTTATGAGAAAACATTCAGTGAACGATTCTTATCAAGAGCAGTTCGGAATTAGGCACGTCCCATTGTCAATGTGGACCCTGAGAAAATTCTAATTTTGTGGAAACAAATAAATTACTTTTTTGGAAAAGAGTCGTAAAATTTTCTAATTTCTGGAAGAAAAATTGCAAAAATAAGTTTTGGATCTAGTGAATAGTTTCTCTAGCACATGTTTAGTGACGGCACTGTATGGAATGAAATATTTACTTTCCATCCTCAAATTATTAAAAGTGAACATATATGTGCGAAACCGGCTTGAACATATTATGAACAATATATATATATAGAGCAGAAAGTTTTGAAATTTTCTCCTTTATCAAAAAAAGTTTTGAAATTTTGAAATTATTTATATTTTTGTCAACTATTTCAAAAATATTTATCCAAAAATTTAAATAATTTCTTTTATTCTAAATTTTTGTTCCTGGCTTCCATTTGTACTTTAGTTCTAAAGTCGTCTCCAAGAGCCATAATATAGACATAGATAAAAATAAACTTGACAGAAAAGAGTGATTTTATTCAGAAAAGGAGTCACATTTTACAGGTAAACCTCAACAAAACTAGTAACATTTTCGTACATTATTCTTATTATTTTACTACTATTTTTCTTCCTTTCACACTAGGGGCTCACTGTTAAAACGCATCCATTTTAACCACTCAAGCCTCAGCCTTCCTTGGCCTTCCGTAGCTAGCTGGGCCACTACTGTGAGTCAAAGTAGTCTCTAACGTGTTGAACTTGACCTTCCTCGCTTCTTCCGGTGAAATTTGGTACCCATTTGATATGACCTCTAATGGTAAACCTCTCATGACTGAGGTTCGTCCCGCAAGCGTGTTGATTTGTGCGTTTGAGTTTGTTTTGAACTCCACCCACCTGAACTGCTCGCTTGTTGCGCGTTTCACCACTGAGAAACCTTGTGGTATGGCAATTAGCTGTCCTTGAGAGACTTGTCCATCGAACACTCGTTCACCGTTGTCGTTAACCACCTGCACCTGGGCTTCCCCGTCTGTCACGTAGAGAACCGCGTTTGCGTTTGCATTCCACTGTGGAAGCACCATCGCGTTCTACACCAACAGACATTTAAGTAATTTCAGTAATCATGTATTCATGTTTAAAAATAGAAGGAGACTAATTATAGCAAACAAAGCCGAGGTGTGTTTAGTTCCTTTTGTTTTTTTTACTACCAAACAAAACCGCACAGAACTCAAGTTTCCAAATTGAATAAAATAAAATTTTAAATTAGTTACTTATTTATATTTCTACTTTTTGATTAATTCAAAATTAGTAAAACCAAAATATATTTAGCTGAACCATATACCTTCCAAACCGAATAAACTGAACCAAACTATAAAAGTGTCAATCACTTGTTCAAATGCATATATATGCATGCAATGATTTTAAATAGATAAAATTTGATGCAAAAAAATATATATAGATAAAAATTTGTGTTGTACGTACTTGACGGATAGATCCACGGAGGGCCGAGAGACGAAGGAAGCGAAGGATTGGGAGATCAAAACTGTTAAGAGTGCTGATGTAACCAAGGTGTGGTTTGTACACGTCAGCATTAGACGGGTCATCGAGGTTGTCGGTGCACCTTGCGCTGCATATGGTCTCTTCTAAACCGTTACTTTCTTCCTCTTGTGGTCTCTGGCCTCTCAAAGGTGGCCTAACGACACCGAAAGGGCCTTGGACTCGAACAATGTTTCCACGGTTGTCTTGCTGGTTCTGAAGTTGTTGTGCTGTCCTAACATCGATCTTGAAAGCTTGAGCAAGAACCTCTGGTGCGAAGCCACTAAGGATGTTTCTTTGTGGCTGATGCTCTCGGCCTCTTAACCATACTTGGCCTTGTGGGTTGTTTCCGGCTAAGTAAAATGGCTACATAACACAAAACAGAAAATCCACATCGGTTTTGTTATTTTGTAACATAAAATTAAATTTGATATGATTATTATGAGGTTTATATATATATATATATATACCCTTGGGTTGCGGTCGAGCTGGTTCTGGTGGCTGGCTAAATCAAAGACAGAAACGATAACAAGTGGTTGGTTTCCCTCGTTGTAGAACCATTGGGCCGCACCAGGTGGTGTAGCAATAGTGTCACCGCACCTTATGTGCTCCACTTTCTGGTGCATATCACCGCCTTGTTGCATCACTGGTGAGTCTTGGTATGTCTCGGCACATCCAGGGATCACTCTCCCCATAAGTCCTTGTCCTGTAATGTAACATACCAAAAACAATCACATGCATTGGTCTATAAAATTTTAGCATATATTTGATAATTATTTAAACTCCAAAAAAAAGAACCAGACAAAAAATAAAATATATTTGATAATAAATTAACTATAACACTTTCTAAAAGAACATTAAAGATCACGAGTTTGAATCTCGATATCAAAATGGTCTCCAATCCAACAATTTTAACAAAATCGAAAACTTTTGGGTTAAAATAAAACCACGTACCTTTAGCCACGAAGGAGAGCTTCGCAGTGTTAACGAAAGAGGGCAAGTAGAGCCCCTTAGGCTCGATAATGTAACGTGCGAAGGAGACACCAGAGCATCGTAGCTGAGGAGCGTGGTGGTCCCATACCTCGATGCGACCAGCCTCGGACTTAAGTACGTGTGACGGCTCGAGTGCATTGAGCTGGTCTAACTGGCACTCGTTTGGAAACTGTTGAGCTGTGTAGCCATGGAGAAAGATCAAAAGTGTTAAGGAAAAAGAGAGAAAAGATGAGACTCGAGACATTTTCGCTTTACTTATTCGTTATGTTTTTTCTGGTCTTACACTTGCGTTAGGCGAAGCTATTTATAGAATTTTAATTAGATGTTTTTAAAAGATTTTGAGAATAAATTGATTGTGATAAGAACCATGTGTATAGAGTCGACTATATGTACAATATACACTTCATTTGAATTGCTATCTTCGTGTCTTCTGAAAATTAATTTGGATTTACATTGCTCAGAATACATATTAGTGAAGGGAGTTTGACACATTTCAATTTGCATGGCTCTTTGAATTGCATGTCTCTTACACATCAGCTTTGAGTAGGCACATGCATGTAACAAGATAAAAATATATACTGATATCTTTGTCAATACATAAAATAATTTTCTAATATTTTACACTGATCAGTATAACAACTTAGATGTTTATAGCAATTACGTTTGGAATGAACTGCTCTTAATTACTTGATTAAGATGGTAATGCTACCGTTCCATTGGAACCTTCTTTTTCTTGAACAAACGAATTAACTTTTTCATGGACTCAAAACTTATAGTATATCTTTATCAGAAAACTGTACTATTTTATCATTCTTTATATCGTTCCACTGTGAAGATCTAGCTGACAACAAACAAAGAATCTAGTAATATTGACGAAATTAAAAGATACAATAGGATTGAAAATTTAATGCCCGGTCATATGTAATAGTTCACACCCGATCGAAATGGGGAAATGTTTAAGTATTGAAAGACTTCGATCAATTATGACATATGCAAATGATAAAAGTTAAAACTAGTAATTATAAGAAGACAATCGAGAGAGAATACGTGGCGACGCAAAACTGCAGAGACATATGTGGCGGACGCGACGAACATGCTGTTCTTTTATCATTTTCCACCGCCATGACGAGTGTATGGCTGCATGCTGCTCAGTTAACTAGCAGTTTTTGTCCAAAAAAAAAAAAACTAGCAGTTTTTGTTTGAAATTTAAATTCTTGATTTTTCCTTTTTTTAAAGATCACTTAACGAAAAATTAGGTTAGTTCGAGAGTGTTTCGTAGTCTATTATTCATAGATATCGTTCAATAGTGGCATGTGAATGGTCTACCATGGTTTTATCATGGTACTCTCTTTCGCTAATGTCATGTCGCACTACTAGAGAGAATTTAAGAGTTAAGAAAGAAGAAATATCATATCTCACGTTTTCAAAATTTTTTTAAACGTTTTCCAGAGATTCGTTTATATATATATATTCATTCTCCTTCAATTGCTTTAATTTATAATATTCACTGTTATTTTCAATTTGGATTTCGGGCTCTTATAGAGAAAATTGTTTTGTCTTTTTCAGTAGATAGCACACATATGCTTGTGTTATGTATGACATTGATTAGGTATATGTGTTTTGTTTAGTAGGATGACATATAAAAATATAGAAGTCATATAATATTTAGGTCTAGTTTCTAATGAGCATATAAAAGGGGGCTTATGAGTAATAGTGAAGGCCAAACACGATTCACTGGGCTTCTCTTTTGCTCAGTTCGACATAAGAAAGCTGATAGACTACCTTCAACTACGTGGCATTTGGCCGAAGGAAAAAACATCTTACAACTTGAAAGGACAATTAAGAGCAACACGAAATATCTGCTTTCCACCAAAAACGTGATTTTGCAGTTTCCACCAATAACCATTTATGTTAAGTTTCTTTTTGATAATCCTACGACGGACCAAGACCATTTATGTAAAGTTGACACTCCTTTGCTCACAAATGGACAATGGTTTAAAACTCCCAATGTAACTGTCTATAAATGCTTTAAAACCCTTTAACAAACTGTTTTAGTCAAGCCATTACAAAGAATGTTTAGACAAAATTCATCGCGTTTAAAACTGTTTTATCAAACCGTGTCAATGAATTAGCAAAACCAACGGTTGATTGATTGATAATTTGATATCTTCAAAGCCGGGGTCGTTTTTAGGTAAATATGGTAAGTGTATTTTTTTGGGAAAGGAACCTTGATAAACAAACAGAACAAGTGTAATTGAAGGTCCAAAATATGGAACTAAAAAACCCAACTATTTAACAGAAATCGCAACTTTTTATCTGTGTGTCGGCTGTGTTCTATCGATAATAATTGATTAAACACAATAAAACAAATTGTATGATAATAAAGTAACAAACAATATATTATGTTATTCATGTAGGTCTTCCACTCCCATCACATACCCACTTGTTCACCCCAGGCTGTCACTTAGCCAGCCTTATTCTTTTGTCCATTCGTTCTTCTTTTTACAATATACAATGACACAAACACATACATTCCACATACATGTCTACGGTCTACCTGTCGTATACGTATAGTAATATAGTTAATTAACTAGCATTTTCTTAAAAATTAAATTTGAGTTCCACATATATTTTTCGTAATTAACGATACTAATTTTTTTTTTTAGTTCAGAAAATAATAACTTCTTGCCAACATTAAAAGCGGCTTCATCATTTTTTTCAATTATATTAACTTAAAAGATTAGACGAGTATAATAAATTATCAAGTCTTTCTTTTCTTTCTCCATTAGATTACTAAGTACCACCAACCATTAATTAGTTGAGAGTATTGTGTTAGTGTCGGTTGTCACCCTAAGTATATATACATTCATAGTAAAAGAAAGATTGCAATTTCTCTACTAACTCTATACAAATTCGATCTCAACTGTATTTGTGTATATGTTAAACCTTGAAGTCATCACAATTTTAAGCATCTCATATAATTTCTCACATATCTTGATGAAATCTGATTTCTGTATTTGCAATTCAATGCATATTGCGATCACACAAATGAATTATACATAGCTGTTAAAAACAGAAAACGAGTTATATATTTTTATTAAAAAAATTCATATCAAATATATAATTGCATAGAGAATCCGATTTTTGTCGGCAAATGTTAATCAAAATAGCTTATTAGCCAAATATATCCCATTCCAACTAAGCCACAGCTCATCACTAAAGCATTTTTCTCATCCATATAAATCATATAACTTCCAACCTCACTTTGTCATTACACTTCAAACGCAATGGCAACCATTCATCTAACTCTAGCTCCTCTCTTCCTCCTCCTCGCTGCCATCTTCCTCTCCACCGTAGTAACTGCTCAGCCCGCCGCTCCAGCTCCTGGCCCTGCCGGTCCCGTCAACATCACAGCAGTCCTTGAAAAAGGTGGTCAGTTTGTTACTTTTATCCGCCTTTTAAACACAACTCAAATAGGAAACCAAATCAACATCCAAGTCAATAGTTCAACAGAAGGCATGACCGTATTCGCACCAACAGACAACGCCTTTCAAAACCTTAAACCCGGAACCCTAAACAAGTTAAGCCCTGACGACCAAGTCAAACTCATTCTTTACCATGTTAGTCCCAAGTTCTACACATTGGATGATCTTCTCTCCGTAAGTAACCCCGTGGGAACTCAAGCTACGGGGCGAGACGGTGGAGCGGTTTACGGACTTAACTTCACTGGTCAAGGGAACCAAGTCAACGTATCAACTGGTGTTATTGAGACACGTGTCAGTAATGCATTGAGAGACGAACGTCCACTTGCGGTTTACGTGGTGGATATGGTATTGTTGCCGGAAGAGATGTTTGGAAAACACAAGATCTCACTGGTGGCGCCTGCTCCCAAATCCAAGTCTCCTGCTGTCTCCGATGACTCATCAGAGGACTCATCTAAGAAAGCGGGGGTTCCGTCCGAGAAGTCTGGCTCCGGTGAGATGAAGGCTGGATTTGGCTTTGGTCTTGGACTTGTTCTCTTATGTTTGAAATTCATTGTTTGATTTTGTTGCTATATTTTTTATTTTATTGTGTGGGATCGATGTGTAATAAGAAACTTCTGTATTGGATATGATGCATCATGCATGGCTTGAAAACTGAAATAAGATATTCATGTGTTAAATTGTACGTCTATGATGATATAAATTTTAGCTGGGACTTGGTCTAAAATTCGAAAGGCAGTCACTAATACTCTTTTTAGAATTTTTCTCACCAATTTCCAGTTTAAACAAATGTATATTAGTCCGTGGTTGCAAAACGCAAAGACCAGAAACTACAAAAGGAGACAAACAGAAAGAATCTCAGCTTAGAGGTTTTTTTTTTTTTAATATAGTATGCTTGGAATTGTTAATAGACTTTTTATCAAACTGTCACTGATTTCTTATGACATAGTAACGATTCTGAAATGGTTTTGTTTAGAAATATAAGAAAGTTAAACAAAACAGTTAAAGCATTCTCATACAGTCATACTATAATAATATACGATCTTTTAATATTTTTGACGATAACAAGACAACAATTCTCCTGATTTAGATAGGTAATCCTCTTTGAATAGTTTTGTCAATTTGAAGAGTTAGCGTTCGGTAAATTTCGCTCTTTGTTTACACAAACTAAATAAATACTCAAAATCGACCAAAAACTAAGAAACCAATAGTACAAGTTATATCCATTATTACCTATTGTGATTTTGTTTTAGTTTTAGGCACTTTCCCATCTTTTATAATTTTTGTTCTATTCTCATAATATTTAGATTTTTTTAGGCAAACATTTTTTTTTATTACAAGGATTGTAGTATTTCCTATAAAATAGTACAATGCGAGGCACTGGCCGAAGACTCTTCACTAAACTAAAGGAGTCAAGAAGAAAATCTAGATCAGCTTCAACTGCTGAAGACTTCTCTGGCTGTTCTGTGAGTATTTGGTGTGGTGATGAGTGTGAGCTCTCTTCGATTTCGCAAGAAGTCTTTTCGTGTCCATTGCAGCAGAAATCTTTTCAACAAACAAAATATCAAAAGCAGTGTGAAAGATTGCAGCGCAGGGGAAGACAAAGTAAGTAACTGGCGATAAGCGTGATTCGACGAACAGGACACCGTGTTGAGATAAATTATTCTGGACTTTGAATCCCTTTATTGAACACGTATAAGGTCCATGCAGTATGTGGCATGATTACCCAATTTTGAATTAGCTTTGGGTATTCAAATCAGTTCATCTTGTAACAGTATAGATTTTATCTTTTCTTGGACGACCAGTATAGATAAATCTAAAAGTTGATAAAATCCACAATGAAAATACAACCGAAAGTATTTTACGGAAAAGGTTGTACAACTGTATTTATGTTGAAATGAAAAACAATTATTTATTACATTTTATTTAATCCAATATAAAGGGTGGGGAGGACACGGATAAATACTTCACTCATTGACTTGTTTTTGGTAGATGCTCAGATCCACATGTGATTCGTCATAACGTTGGGTGAGGTACGTCGAACATTTGATAGCTGGATATCTATTCATTATATATACACAATCGTTATTGTCTTTAAAGCATGTGTACTCCTACGAGGAGGTCTCCATGTAATGAGGATGTAAAGATGCTAATAGAAGGCTTACTTGGGAGGGTTGTTTTTGGACTGGCAGGTAGGAAGACATTCAACCATACAGTCGTGGCTTGGTTTCACGAAGAACGGAATCTGCCATGAGAAAAAAAAAAGTAAAATTCCTTTTCAGTGTTATAATAATTTACCGAACACGTTAACATGTTAAAAACATGAATCATCGTTTATGATAATTTAAATTATCAAACTTGCTAGATTTATTCATAAATATTTCAAACTACATAAACCCTTTTAACAAAAAAAAATATTTCAAACTACACAAATTTTCTCAAAAGAAAAAATCAGTTTCAAAGTACGCAAATGGGTCTTGGTTAGAGACTTACGGAATATCTATCCTGGCCATTCCCAAGTACGCGATGCAGTGTAGATCTGCATGTTAAAAAGACATGTGAGAAAATTGTCAACAAGAAATTTGTAATTGCAAAAATCAAAATGCAAAGGATGTATTAGCAGCAAGACTTTCAAACAAAAATAAATTACTTAAACAAGCCGTTGCTCCAACGCTCCAGCAAATCACCAAGATTCACTATATATGCTCTGTCGAGGTAAACAAACCAGATAAAATTCAAAACTTTGTTATGGGGTGTAGTGTTGTATTTAAAATGGACCATGGACCCAAAAAATCAATAAGTTTTCATTAAAGTACCCTTTAATCGATGGTACATATTCCCATTTCCGAGGCTTTGCGTCCTTATCCTTGCATATCTGCTCTCAGATAGTTGCAACTTCTCATAACTAAACCCGGTCATATCAATGGCTATTTAACTAGCAATAAACTATGCAATACCTGTAGCCCCATTACACCATCGGTTGCTAAGAGAGTCATCATGCCGAAGTCAGAATGTGCTCCACATGCATATATACCTTTGGATGGATCAGACTTTCCTATAAATAAGAGAAAGAATACAATTAGCTGCGTATATTATTTATTTATTTTATTGAGAAATCGCTGCCCATATTATTATTGACTTGCAAAGTTTATTAAATTAACAAAATACACCACCTTCATAGTGAAGCAGTCGCATGACTGCAATGGGATTTCCAAGCATCTCTGGTGTATCAAAGTAATCCACATCCAAGTCGAGCGCCATTGCCAGGATTCTCGAAATAGACTTACAAACCTTCCTAAACCATGTAGATATAGTTTTGTAGTGTGAAGATTTTTTTTCTTTGTGTGGAGTGTCTTACTTTAGTTCATGACAATTGATTTTAAGGTGGACTGAATGAGAGTCAACAATTCTAAATCTTATACCAAAGTATGTTTTACTTTTATTATATTCATGAGCAAGCTTCAAACCTTGTACAAACCATGTAGATATCCTTATATCCATTTATACAAATTTAAAGTGGAGAGACAACTACATAGAAAGAGGGAAAATGAAAACGAGACTTACAATGCTTCTTGATGATATTTCTCCATGGTCTCCTTCCATCCAGGCAGAACATCTACCATAAACATCAAATTTACTCAGAAGAAAAGAAAAAAAATAGTCAGCAACCAAAAGAATTTGATAGAACATGGAGCTAATTAACCAGGGTCAGGCCAAGTGTTTGGGCTATAGAATGGCTTATCCCCATTAGGATCATCTTCGGGACATTCGATTCCAATGAAAAAACACTCTTTGTAATCCCCTGAAATCCATTTCTACGTTAGGTTTAATACAACAACACTGTTTTATTACGCAAAGGAAATTGTTTAACGAACCGTTGACTTCTAGACCCAAAAAAAAAACTAACCGTTGACTTGATTCTCAGGATCTAAGGTTTGATCAAGGACAGGTGAATATCCTCGGTTCTTTTTATTTCTCAAGACTTTCATCTTCTGCTCCAAAGGAAGAGCAAATAATTTTTTACTCTGCTTGAAAGTCTCGTTTTCCAACTCTTCACTTAAACCATGATTTATGACATAGAAAAATCCACTCTCCAAGCACGCCTGGAACAAGAATCACACATAGCAGCAGTTATAATGGTCACATCCTAATCATATTCAAGGAAAATAAATGAAGACAAACCTGCTTGAGCAAAGCAGCTGATTGATGAAGATCAGAGTTTGCGAGATCTATGCAAGTAAGGGCTGAAACTTTGATGGTCGAAGCCTCCTCCTGAGCTGTGTTCTCCATCTCTCTCTCTCCCCACTCTCTTTGTTGACTCTTTTAAGAATAGGAAAGAGAATGGCTTTTTCTCGTTTTGTTGGTACAATGTATAATGAATAAATTAAATCAAATGACTTAAACTTGATACGAACAAACGTAAGTGGCACACCAACCCCTACATCGGATTATCGTATTAACAATCACTTTTGATAAAATATATTTCTAGTGTAAGCCATGACTGAAACATATCTCGTGGGCAGCGTAGACCGACGACCACTAGCTTGTATGTATATAGTTCAATACATTTTCTCAATAGTGAGAAATTTCTCAAACACTCCATTTTTTTCTCTCTAAATGATCAATAAATTTAACATTTCATAAAAAAATACTTTTTCTTAAATTATAATTTATACTAGATTTGGACCCGCACAACCGTGCGGGTATTTTAATACGAAAATATTTGAAATTATATAATAAAATTTATCAATAAATAAGTATAACTTGATTATTTATGCTATCCAATTTATAATCATTTTATGTGACTTATAATATTATTAATATAAAATTTATAAATTTGTATTTTTGTAATAATTTAATTATTATGTAAGATTACTAATTTATATATTTTGTTTTATTTCTAAATTTGATATCTATATAAAAATTAATTAAGTTGGACCTAAATAATACATAAACAAAATTTTGGGATATTGTTAAAAGTATTTTACATAATTTCAATTTTTGTTTATAAATTAAAAATGAATTAAAATTTTAATTATATTTTATGATATTAAGATTTTAATCAAATAATTTTTGAAACTATATCTTGAAAAAAGATTCTAAATGATTTTGTTAGAATTTTCTTAAAACTATTTATTTGTATTTCAAACAAAAAATTAAAGATATGAAAAGATATTATAATGTTATGTAAAATTTTATAAAACTCTAAAGATGGTTCAAACTAAATATCACACATGAAGTGAGTCATGACTTCTCTTTTAATATATTAGATGAATTGTTTTAAATAAAAATAACAAATTACTTTGTATCCAACAAAACTTAAAATATAATATATATAATATATACATATATAACCATCTTATATCCTCTCATTTTAATTTGTCAATCTAATTAGATAGAATAATCTTTAAAATTATAAAAGATTAATGTAACATTTGGTAATATTTCATACGACTAAAAAGTAATATTTCATGATACTTAATAATCGACTAAAAAGTATGAAAAACTTATATGATCAATCTTTATCTCAGTGTATCTGTACATTATGATTTGAAAACTTGCACATATTGCATAATTGTTGTTTTCACAAAAAAAAACAAAAAAAAAATGTTTTAAGGTGTTTGACGAAATTCTTATGTCCACGAAACGATATATAGTAGTAGTTTTTTTCTTCAGATGTAGTCCATGGTATTTTGTCCGTGACATCTTATTCACCGAGATCCCATCCACCAGGAGAGTATAAACATATATTGTTGGGATACAATCTAAGTCCCACATCGGAAGTTTAGACAGAAAATATATTGTTGGGATACAATCCAAGTCCCACATCGGAAGTTTAGACAGAAAGTGTCTAATATATAAATAGTGTCCAACTGTGATTAGTATGAGGCCTTTTGGGAAGGAACCCAAAAACAAATCCGTGTGGACTTTGCCTCTTGAGCCCAAAGCGGACAATATTATACTATGTATAGAGTTGGACATGGGCTTCAGAAAAACGCCACATATATCCAACCCATGCTTTGTCGAGCACAAGTTTATCCATCAAATACACCTTAACCTCATTTAGTTACTTTCTAACTCATACTTCTCATTTGGTTTGTCGTTAGGAAAAGAGTATTTTGGTCTGGTGAACATACACAAGGAGCTTTTGAAGCCCATAATAAAGCCCATTAGTGAATACACAAAGCCCTAGCTTCCAAGGAAATATGAAAGTCCTCGGGTGGTTCCGGAAAAGGAAAGGAGAAAAAGGAGAAATGAAATTCACAGAGTCTCCAGTGATCGATCTCACCGTGAACGGAACAAACCTCTCAATCCAACAAGACAACGCCACGATGCACGTCGGAACCTCCGTCTGGCCATGCTCCCTCGTCCTCTCCAAATTCGCCGAGCGCTGGTCCACCCTCTCCTCCTCCTCCTCATCTCCAAATCCATACTCCTCACTCCTCGATTTCCGCAACCGCCGCGCCGTCGAGCTAGGCACGGGATGCGGAGTCGCCGGCATGGCGTTCCACCTCCTCGGCCTAACGGAGATCATCCTCACCGACATGGCTCAGGTCATGCCTGCGCTGAAGCACAACCTGAAACGCAACAAGGCGGCGCTGGGGAAGTACCTGAAGACGTCGATCGTCTCGTGGAGCAACCGGGACCAGATCGCGGCGCTGAATCCGCCTTTCGATCTGGTGATCGCGGCGGACGTGGTGTATATCGAGGAGTCGGTGGGGGATCTGGTGGCGGCGATGGGGGCGTTGGTGAAGGATGATGGTGTTGTGCTGTTGGGGTATCAGGTTAGGTCGGTTGAAGCGGATAAGTTGTTTTGGGAGATGTGCGGCGTCGTTTTTGAGGTTGAGAAGGTTCCTCACGGGGATCTTCATCCTGAGTATGCGTATGAGGAAGCTGATGTGTATGTGTTTAGGAAGAAGGTGAAGAAGGTTATTGAGAGTGGTGGATCAGAGTGAAAGGCGTTTTTATTTATGTGAAATCTTTACGAATTTGGATGTAACTTTGTTTTAGAAAAATTTCTTGCCATCGATTTTTGATTTAGCTCAATATGGACCCAAATTGGTGAACAAACTTTATCTTATAAACAATATCAATGAGCGGGTTGTGTTATATATTACATGTATGCCTAAACGATGGCGGATGGGTACGGTAATTGATCCGGAGGAAGTCTATTTTGGGGACAGAGTGATAACATGAGAAGATAGTCCATTGGAGTGATCATTGTGGATGATGGCATGATGCACGACGTAGTTTGGACACATAACAAGAGCAATCTTCACCAAAATATACTGAAATTACTAAAGAAATTTCGCATTGGATTCTTTTATTTTTGGTGAAGACCAGGAAGAATCTGAGAACACGTTGCTGATAAAGTAAAAATACTTCAAACTTCTCAAATGAGATACTATTAGTTCAAACGGCTTAAATATGAGACTAGTGGCGAGCTTGATAAGAGTTTGCTGTGAAGGAGATGAGAGACTGATTTTGATCAATCGTTGCCGAGCTTATACATTTACAATCTCTTATCTAAGTAGTAGGTATCTTTACAATTTGTTTTTAACTGATTTAAAACCATTTTAATAAATAGAAATTTTTAAAATATCATTTTGGTTACAAATTGTTTTTAAACTGATTTAAAACATTTTAAAATAATTTGATATATTTTTTAAATAATCAGTTTGGTTATGACCGACATAATGTTTATATAAGCGTTCAGCTTAAACCGACTTTAAAATTGATAATGAATAAGAACCCGATTTTAAAAAGAGTCAATTGGCTTAATATACTAAAAGAACTTAGATATTAGGGATTTACCTTAAAGAGTAAATAGTGTATTTAGGTAGATGACTAAATATAACTAAATTGTATGGGTAGAGAATGCAAATTCTCTTTTAAAAACGCAAGCTTATGTCTTTTGCCTTTTTCTCCATTACACAGCATTATTAAAAATATTTGTGTAATTGTGTCTATAACGCGGTTCCACTATTCTAAGATTAATGCGGTTCCACTATTCTATTATAAGATTACCAACCAGGACGTTAATTAGTTAATTACAAGTAAAACCAATCAGATATTTAAAGCAAGTTTTTTAGGTTGGATTTTTTAACTTAATATAACATTTCATTTCTTAATTTTTAATTAAAAATATTAAAAACATCTCTTATCTCTTAGTTAATAGATGTTTCTTAGTTTTTATTTTTTTTAAAAAAACTGTATATTATGTTGATCTAACTTAAGAGACAGTGCAATAAAAATGCTCTTATAATTACAATTACGCCAAAATACATTCAATTTCTGAACTCAACAACCCTCCCTTAAAAGGCTGAGGCACTGGCGCCAACTCCTAAATCTCATCGGCGATGACGTTAGCTCATTCTCGCCAATTCTCAACATCGCTTAACCCCATCAACATTACCTCACTTTCCAAACAACTAATCCAACTCGGACGCATCAACAACCCCAATACCTTCTCAGACACTACTCACCACCAACAACTCCAAGCTTCATCCCTCATCTCAAACCTCAATAACTGCACATGTCTCCCCCAAATCAAACAACTCCACTGCCACGTCATCCGACAAGGCCTCGACCAAAGCTGTTACATCATCACAAAACTAATCCGCACCCTCACAAACCTCAACGTCCCCATGGATCCCTACCCTCGCCGCATCATGAACCTCGTCCAGTTCCCTAACCCGTTCCTATACACATCCGTGATCCGCGGCTACGCGGTTCAACAAAACCTGTCGGAAGCGGTTACGATGTACGGATCCATGAGGAGAGAAGGGATCACTCCCGTTTCCTTCACTTTCTCCGCTCTCTTGAAAGCTTGCGGTTCCGTCGGAGATTTGAGTTTGGGTCGGCAGTTTCACGCGCAGACTTTTAAACTCAGCGGGTTCTGTTCTGTCTACGTTGGCAACACGATGATTGGTTTTTATGTGAAGTGTGGGGATTTGGAATCTGCGCGGAAGGTGTTCGATGAAATGCCTGAACGAGACGTGATTTCGTGGACTGAGGTTATAGCGGCGTACGCGAAATCCGGGGATATGGAATCTGCGGAGGGGATGTTTGAGAGGTTGCCTAAGAAGGATGTGGTGGCTTGGACGGCCATGGTTACGGGGTTTGTGCAGAATGCTAAACCTCTGGAGGCGGTGGAGTGTTTCGATAGAATGGAGAGGTCAGGAGTTTTGCCTGATGAAGTCACTGTGGCTGGGTTTATATCTGCTTGTGCACAGCTTGGAGATAGCAAGTATGCGGATAGAGCTGTTGAAATGGCTTTGAAATTTGGGTATTCTCTGAGAGATCATGTTGTTATCGGGTCTGCTTTGATCGACATGTATTCGAAATGCGGGAATGTGGAAGAGGCAGTAAAAGTGTTTGAGTCGATGAAGAACAAGAATGTTTTTACTTACAGCTCTATGATCCTTGGTCTTGCTATGCACGGGCGGGCGAAAGAGGCTTTAGATTTGTTTCATTACATGGTAACACAAACCACGATTAAACCAAACAATGTTACTTTTGTTGGCGTGCTTACGGCTTGTAGCCACGCCGGACTTGTTGACCAAGGACGTCAAATGTTTGCTTCTATGCATCAAACATTCGGCGTTGAGCCAACGCGTGAGCACTATACATGTATGGTCGATCTTCTAGGGCGTGTGGGGAGGTTGCAAGAAGCGCTTGAAGTGGTTCAAACAATGTCTGTGGAGCCACACGGAGGTGTGTGGGGTGCGTTGCTAGGTGCTTGTAGGATCCACAAGGATCCGGATGTTGCAGAGATTGCTGCAAAGCGTTTGTTTGAATTGGAACCGGATGTCATCGGAAACTATATCTTGCTATGTAACGTGTACGCTTCAGCTGGAGATTGGGACGGTGTTTTAAGAGTGCGGAGACTGATTAAAGAAAAGGGTTTGAAGAAGACACCAGCGGTTAGTTGGGTTGTGGATGAGAAAGGTCAGATGCACAAGTTTTCCCCAGGGAACATGAACCATCCGATGTCGGATAAGATTCAAGGGACGTTAGAAGAGCTTGTAGAGAGATTAAATGTGTTAGGTTATCAACCGGATTTAAGTTCTGTACCGTACAATGCGAGTGACGATGAGAAGAGGTCGATACTGACTAGGCACACCGAGAAGCTGGCGTTAGCGTTCTCCTTGATAACTACGAGCAGAGATTGTACGATAAAGATAATGAAGAATCTGAGGATGTGCCAAGATTGTCACACGTTTATGCGTTTGGCGTCGGAGGTTACAGGGAGGGTGATTATAGTTAGGGATAATATGAGATTCCACCGTTTTAGGAGTGGAGCTTGTTCCTGTGGTGATTTTTGGTGATAATGGAGATTATACAGTCTACAGAGCAAATTCGATATCTGAGAAGATTTTCTTGTGAATCAAGAGAAGTGCTATGCGAAAACATGTTGTGAACACTTCGAAGTCAAAGAGGTTCGTCAGAGAACTTGAAAGCATCTCGTGAAGACTTGAGAGCCTAGTTTATAGTGTCTAAGGCCCTTGCAATGATGCACAGGATGATGTTGTTTTATGTGCGTTCTGAGGTTTTGGAGGCTCCCATATTACTGGAAAGGTTACTAATTAGTTTTCCCTGACCATATGAGTTTAGCCAAATCACACAAACAACAAGATTATAAATGTTTCTTCTTCTTGCATACCAAATTTGCTGTAAGAAGCTTGGGATGATTACCACAGGTTTCTCTCTGGTAAGAAAATGACAAAGAAGCTTAGATTGTCAAACAGGGGATCAAGAAGCAGTATAAATCACTTTTGCAATAAACTATCTCTTCAGCGCCATACCATCGTCAGGAATGAACATATCATTATGTTCCGCCTCTGTTCTCAACCTTACTATATAACAATGTTTGTGAATTGTGGGTATCAAAGTTCCTCTCCATAAACCAATGAAGGGATGGGTCCTATTTTTGCATTGAAGTACTTCCGGTATACATACAGACCCAGCAAAATCAATAGACTCCAAAAAGCTGAACGAGTGGGTGGTCCAACACTGACACTAAGAAACAAAGAAACGAAACCAAGGACCATCGACAAGGAAGCGTCTCCATCATCAATCACTCACCCCAAGAACCAAAACCAGGTCTATGAGCCCTGTTTGTCAGATTCTCCAAACGCAACTCCACGCTCATTATCCATCATCGTCTGGTTATACAAGAATCTGCTAAGACATTTTAAAATAGAACTTGATTTCGGTTATACTGCATGTATATACAGCAAAGAAAACACATTCTCTTGAGTTCTGCAAAATGGATCTTACTTTATTGATTTTATTTAGGAAAACAAATATAATTCCACTGCAAAAGTATATGTGAAGAACACAAATGGTAAACACAACTCAGATGCTACAATCTCGATCTACGTATAAACCTCTTCCCTGGTCTCCTCCTAGACCTCCCGGTTGTTTCCGACAACTTCACATCCCAATCCTCAACGTTCTTGGGGATATAAACATCAAACAAGATTTGACCAAGAACACCATTAGGCTTATTAGCATCATCTTCGTTCTGAGTACTGGACAAACGGATCAAATCTTGTTTATGTTCATCTTGCACAGACCCACCGTTTCCCACGTAGTAACCTACGGTGCTAGGCACAAAGAAATGATCCGTTGTGACAAGTGGAGTCCCGTTGAAGCTTCGGTTAAGACCAGAGGTTGATGCCCCAAAGCTTTGAGTTGGCTCTGTTATCTCATCATCACATGGTGTATCTTCTTTCATTGCTTCTCTGTTAAGACTTGTTGTCTTCTGCAAATAAACTGACGTTGCTTTTGACAAGAAGTCTGATACAGCTGCTTTATAGTCGACTTGGTTATACCGATAATGTCCTGTAAAAAATGTTGAAGTTAAAGAATCTGATTTTGGCAAAAGAAATATATCGTAAAGTTTTAGTGATACACTAACCAACGTGAGGAGAATCATTCCATTTAACGAGTTTTACATCTCCTCCTAGCTCTTGGAGACGTGTGTAGAAATTGTGTATGGTTTGATAAGGAGCGAGGTCATCGTTTTCAGAGCATAGAATGAGATAAGGAACTCTCATTGTCTGCAACATTCAAGAATGCAAAATGAGATAAGATGTAACAACCGAGATCAAAGTCGACATGTTAAAAAGCTGCTTACTATAGTAGAGTAAAGAGTCTGCCAGAACTCTGCTCTTTGTGACTCAAACCTGTTGAGGAAAACATAATCGAGACTCGAAGCAATACCGTTGGCTACCCATACAAATGGTTTAGGTGGTTTAGACATTCTGAGCGTAGTTGGATGAACCGCTAATCTAGCTCCCAAGTCACTAGTGAAATCCACAGGAGATGAGTCATAGATAAACCCTGAGATGCAGTTTCTAACCATTCTACAATCATCCTGGTTGAGTCCTGTGTCACATATCCCTTCAAGTATCTGCATAGAGATATACAAAAGTAAGCTCAACTCTTTTCACATCATCAAATACTCAGTAACAATGGTGATAAAGATAAGAAAATCACTTACTTGAAGAACTTTATACATACAAGCATTAGGACCACCAGAGAAAGAAGCAAACACTAAAGGAACTGGCTTTTCCTTGAGCTCCTACATAAAAAAAAAAAACACTATAAACATTGATTATTGATGTTCTTGTTCTCTGCTCCATCGGGATTTGAGTATTTAAAATAAAGTAAAAAAAATCAAATTTACACATTTTTCCATATGTAATAAGACAGAGCATGTTCACCTTTACAAGTTCAGACACAAGATCAGAAGCTAGATCCGCAGCTTTGTCCGGTAAGAACCTTAAGACATGTAATAAAACCCCAAAACATTTTTTATTAAATAATGAAATTAGAGAAATCGAGAAACAGAGAAAGTAGAAGAAAACAAACATGTTGAGGAACTGAGAATGGCAAACGAGGGAGTCCCAAAGAAGAGAATCATAGAGATCGACATGGTTCTTGAGATTGCGTTCTTCACTAGACATCCAAGCGAACACCACAACGATCGCTTCACTTCTTCCTCCTTTGTCTCTCTTTCGCCAATAGTATTTTCCTCCATATCCCCACATCTTCAATCCGAATTAGGGTTTTTTTTCTCCTTTGTCAATTGACTTTGAACATAATGAGAGGAGGGCACACGCCTCGAGCAGAGAGACGTAAAAGACCAAGAAGAAGATAGAACGAACAGATCACCTTTGCTTATCTCATGGCATTATAAAAATAATATTTATATAAATAAAATCTTAATTTTAGTAGGAAGGAGATCCTGTGGTAAGTAAGCTTTCTTCTTATAGTTAAACTTCGCATTATTTTCTAACAAGAACAATTTGTAAGCAAACTTGTCAAATACATTTAATATACAAAATGTCATAAAAATGCACAGATCAAAGTTTATTTGCCCTCACGATTGCTCTCACTATATTATATAGCGACCAGATAAAAAAAATATCATATAATTGTGTAAATAATCTCTTCAATTTTTATATATAATTTGAATTAAAACCTAGCAAAACTCTCTCTTCATCTTATAAATTTTGTAGTGAGGAAATAAAATATACCAAAGCTTAAATGCATTGGTTCGAAATCGGGCCAAAATTTATAATATTCCGAACATGAAATGAATGCTTCTTATCAGCTATTAAACGGGTGGATAACAAAATAGCTGGATCATGAATGTAGAAAAACTAAAATACAGAAATGGAGAATCACATTATATTCTTGTTTGATAAATGACCATCTCTAAGAAGGATTATTGATATAAGTTCGAGAATCCCAGTTCATGCTAGCTAATGTAGCAATCGCTCGGAGAGAGCAGATGTGTTCACACAAGGTAGTGCTGCGCTGAAATGAGATTGCAGCCGGTTTAAGAAAGTTACAGTGCTGAGATCTAGTAGGGGATTTATATTGGTATTTGAAAAAAACAGTAGAGGATAAATTCTCAATATTTGTACCCGTATTTATATGTGTTCTTTTTACCCGTATCTATATGTTTTGTAATTCGTATGTACGACCATAAAATAAATGATACATGAGTTTTTTCACGTTCGTTCTTCCTACATTTTAGGACCTAGTTGAGAAACAAATCGAGTAAACAAAAGAAACAATTACAATTGCAAACGGTATCAAATACACATTCACAAAAAAAAACTATTTACTAAATTAGATATACAAGAAAAAGTATTCAACTATAATCCTTTTTTTTCTTTTGGGTCAAGAATCAAGTATACCAAATATAAGTCTGAATGTTAAAGTCGGACACTACATTAAATGTTAACATAAATCTTAAAATATTACACAAGTTTACATACTCATTGTCATTAGTTAGTAACAGACTTTAAGAGCTTTATAAGCTTTTGTTCAGTAGTATGTACACTCATATTCTTATCCAAGCTACTGTTGTTGTATATGCCTACATGAAAGTATTATCACTCATTGGTACGTAATAATAATATACTGTAACCAAAGAATTAGCTGATTTGGTTGACAAATGATCGTTGAATCAAGGTTCTTGCCTAAACTGCCTTTGGAGAGAACATTTCAGTCATGACCCAACACAGCCAATTATTTTCGGTCCAAAACCTAGGCCCAATCAAATTGACACGAGATAAATTCAATTTAAACCCATTCCCTTTTCATTGTTCTTCATGCAAACAAATTTAAAAAAAAAGTTAGAGAAAGAGAGAGAGTTGAGTTATTTGTAGAGAGAAGATCGTCGGAAACAGTCTCCAGAGCCACCACGTCACGAGTCTACGTCATGCTTACCACCTCCGATCATCACCCTAGATAACTCCGGAAGCCGCATGCATTCTAAGTTTAGTTTTGGCTATTTTAGTAAATCAACTATAATTTACTAGCTGTTAGAATTATCGTGCATGCAAGGCCATCATCGTGTTTCTCTCAACGAGACGAAGTTATAGCCGCCAATCACACTTCAATTAGAGCCCAGACGAAGTCGCGTGCGCGTCGCCTGAAAATCCACCGTCCAAATAGGTGAAATCCACAGTAAATTATTTCGAAAGAAATAGGTGGATCTTCGGGCGGTGAATCCGGCTTCGTCCGGACTCCAACTCCAATTGAGACGTGGTTGGTGGTTATGGTTTCGTCTTGTCGAAAGGAACACGATGATGACTTTGCATGCACGAGATTCGAAACGGTTAAAAAATTATGGTCGATTTACTAAAACAGCCGAAACTAAATTTAAAATACATGCGGTTTCTAGAGTGATCGGTGGTGACAAGATCGGCGTGGACTCGGGATGTTGAGGCTTCAGCGACTGTCTTTGACGATCCTCTCTTTATAAAAAACTTAACACTTCTCTTTTTTTTTTTTAACACTGGATAATTATGCATTACAAATTATGAGAAATATTACATAGATAATATTACAGCCGACAATTCTACCTGCCTTATGCGGATTCACGTCTAACTGCATCACTTTGAGCCGTCCTATGAGATCCATTCCTGACTTTCTTCTTAACTTTCTTTTTTCTATAACATTTTTTTTTTCTTGTTTACATATGAAGAACAAAGGAAAGAAAATGGTTTAAATATAATTTATCTTGGAGCCAATTTGACTGAGCCTAGGTTTTTGGTCGAAAATGGTGGGCTGTGTGATTTGGCTTTGATTCTTGATCTGGGGAGAGTGAATCTCAGTAGTCCAGAAACTATTCAATATATGATTCTCAAAATAAAAATTTAGCCATCAGTATCAAGAGTGATTTTCAAGTTTCTTCTACTTCTATAATAAAAAAAAAAAACCATTTAAATTCTCCGACTTCATCTAGCCCTTCAGGAAATCATGATTGTTATCTTATTAGCCCTTATCGATATTCTATATCAGTTTAGATGTGGACCTCCCTCGTGAAACCAGTGAAGGTACTACTCAATCGAAATTAGTGAATATTTATTTGCGTATAGGGGATATGAACCATAAAAGTAAGAATTTATGATACCAAGGTACGTAACATATATATGAATGAAAAAATGAAAAAAATGTACATAGTTAGGTTCAACTAATTAAAATTGTATATATGGAGCAACAAAAGATATGGGATATGGTGCCTTTTAACAGGTTTGGAACGGACGCAGCATTCAATTTTGGATCTAGGTTTAGATAAATCGATCCTTCAACTATGAACTGTGTTAGCCTTCTTTCTAACCAGTGCAGACTCTTTATATAGCAAGATAAATTATTTCTTTTTTATAAATCCCGAAGATTATTCTGACTGACTTCATGTCTAGGATCCCATATATGATATAAGAAGGTGATTTTACTAAATGTTATTCATGTATTTACGATGTAGCCATTTAAACAAAATCTCATTCACCGACCAAAAACTAATGCTGCAATTCTGCAAACACATAAAGAAGTTTCCTCACAAAACCTTTAACTGTTTATCCTCTCTCATTGTATTATTCGTCTACCAGCTCTCATCTCAAAGAGTACACTCGAGAAAAGTCAAGAAAAAGATGGGAATTGAAGTACATACATGATACAATGCACCAAGAAGAAGTAAATAGTTCGAGGTTCCATGTACCACAATATTTAAATCCAAGCTTTATTAGGACCCGTTTTATGGTGTAGCTGGCCCACTGTCCTTTCTTCAACATATAGATACAGATATGTAAATCATCCATGATAGTGAAATATATGTCTCCGAGGAGACATCTAAAGGACTAATCGACCCATTGAGATGAGAATGGGAACTAAGTATTGGTGGGTCAGGCGGTCCGCGTGACACCTTCACACCCCGACACAATACACTTTTGTATACTTGCTATTATGTTTATCTATTTATGTGTATATAATGCACATGATCACATGTACGTAGACACACGTACATACACATGTAAATATATCGTATGTATACCAGTAATGAACATTTCTGTGCATGTACAATGTCGTTAAGATAAGTATTTCTCCTAGGAAACAAAGTGCTCTTGCAGTGGGGAAATTTGAATTATTAATTGTAATGTCTTTAAGATTGAAGATTTATTGTTGTAAATGATAAAATAGTAAAATTACTCCACAATCAACAAGCAAGACCTAGCAATAACGTTATCCTCTACTAGTCGACCAATGTTAAATCACAATGCTAACGATTTAACGATTTACTTGCACAAACAAAAGATAAATTGTACAAATATTTGTATTGCACACTAACGAAAAGAAGTAGACAAATAATTACAACAGGTGTTTCTTTAGTAAAGAGAATATTTTGAAGTAAACATTACATAGGAATTCGATCCTAAATATAGTAAATTTTACAAGTTCCAAGATATCAAATATCACAATAGAAGTTATGGACTTATTTTAGAAAATAACATTGAAACCTAAAAGAAAAAATTAAAACACTAGTAAAAATTAACAATTTTTCAATAAACAATGGCTCACGACGGAACTCCTCCGCCCATACATTCCTTACCTATCTCCGATCATGATCACATTGATCATGTCAAAAGATCGTTCACCCAACCGAGATCAAGATCGCCACTAGAACCCACCTCAAAGCTATTCTTATCCCTAGCTTCCGCTGCCGCAGCTGCAGCCACCGTGAAATCGCTTAAACGGCCGCCACGTGGCGTGAAGTCATCGCTGAAGAAGCTCGGTGGCGGCAGCTGACCATTTAGGTAACTTGGAGCTGAAGAAGGTGAAAAAGAATACTGAAGGGAACTCTGGAGATCTCTGTCTCCGACATCAAGCCACTGCGGAAGACGGTGGTGGTTGCTTATATTTGCTGAGGAAAGCATGGTCGCCCCCGTGGTAACCGGAGTGGTTACCGCGAGGGCTTCCTTGAGACTAAAGGAATCCAAAGAATGAATCATCTCGTTTAGAGCTTCCTTGCACGCCACGGCGGAGTGACGGTGGCTCAGCCGTGAAAATACGGCGGATTTGTTAGCCGGAGATAACGGTGGAGATAAATCCAAGAGAGTGCTCGTGGGAGAGTGTGAACAAAACATACAACAACGACTATTTTTACTACTCAATACGGACGCCGGAGATGAAACCGCCGATCCACCTCCGCCGTAGACAAAATTTTCCGACGGCGGGAGAACTCTAAGCTGACGTGGAGAGTGAGCAAAGAAACATATTTTCCTCTTACAATGCTTACCGTCTTTACAAGCCTCCGTACGGTAACGACTAGGATGGAGCCAACACTCGAAAACGCCGTGCGCAAAGCCGCATATATCGCCGCGGCTACAATCGCCGCCGTTGCGAAACTCCGGACAGACTTCGCCGGTGTAGTGATACCGGCGAGGGTCACGGCGACGAGCCTTTTCGCCGGGATGGGCGAAAGGACAGTCGGTCCAGTCGTGGCTACGGCTGCGCGTGCACCGTCGGATCTTGAACTCGTACATGCGGAAATGGTCGCCGGCGTAAGGATCGTCGGAGTCAGAGTCGTAACAACAGTCTTTTTGAGCCTTGTCGTCAGGGTAGGGACTTGAAGGAGATTTGGCGGAGGAAAGAAGGTTTCTTGGTGGAATGTCTACGGTTGGTCTATCGATGTGGCCGGAGTTGTGATGTTCGACGTCCATGTCTACGTGGGCAGAGTTTTGTGTTTCTTTTATGGTTTTCTTTTTATGGTTTTGGAGAGAGATTGGAAGAGATAAGTGTAAGATAAAATGATACTCCATGCTTAATTGTCTATATATACGCGTTACTGTATACATAATAGATATCGAGATTGCGTTTAGTTTAATAATGTATGGTGTGATGTAAAATTAAGATTACACTAGATTTAGATTTTTGATTCTGCACTTAAAAAGGGCAGATTTTATTTTTGTTGTTTTAGTTATGGAGTCTTTGCTTTGATGATATAAAAGGTCACAGTCTAATATAACTTAACGAAAATTAATGCAGATTTTAATTTATTGTTATCATCAATATCTATATAATTTATTGTATATAATTGTGTAGTTTTATTTTGAAAAAATAACATCAATTAACTATACTTGATGTTGGAAAGCAAACAAACTTGTTCCGCCCGATCCACAAAAAAAAAAAAATTTTATTTGCATCTATCCCACTTAATTTTGTAGATAATATACGATGGATTCCCCACCCACCCAACCAATACAAATTATGTTTCGCTAAAAGAATCAGCGGATAATTATTAAATAACAAAAATAATTATTTTTAAATTTTGTTAAGAATAATATTAAATAGTATATTTTTAATTATTTTTTTTTAATATTAAAAAACAAATATTTTTGAAAAATAAACTAAAAAACATATAATTATTCTTGAAAATAAACATAAAAAAAATTCTATCATCAGGTACCCGCAGTTGAAAATTAGAAAAACCCATATCCATTCCGCGTAAAATACACTTGATTTATATCCATAACTTGAATTTTTCAAATCGATCGATTTGTTCTGCCGCATGTCAACCCACAGACTAATATCAAAATGCTTAACTCTAACTACGCCAATTAAAACTGATATGTTTATTTTTCAAAGAAATTTCATAAAATAATTAAAAAATGAATTTAACCTATTAAGAAAATTTATTATTATATTATTTTTAAGTTCATAACCTAAAGATTATGTTGTTATTAATGAAAATAAAAATTTATTTATATCGTTAAAAGTAATTTTAGAAAACATTAAAATTCATTAAAAGGAATGAATCCTCTTTTAATAATATTGATTTTAGTAGTAATTCGGGGGATCAGATTTAGTTTGATTCATACTCTTATTAATCAGTGTATGCTCAAAGAAGGTGGTAGGTGGTAGATTTCTAGTTTCATAAATTGCTATCGAATTATGATCCGGATTTAAATTTACTAGAATCTCGTGCAACTCATTCCAGTAAACAACAGTAGGAAAGAGCTGCTCGTGAAATGGTAGATTTAAACATCTTGAGTTGAGTTTAATACAAACAAGTTTTGTTACCGCGGTGAAACCTGAAATTCGGTTAGTTTGTTTCTGATAGATTAGGAAACTATTATACATGTATACAACGGTATATACAACAAATACAAATGATTCAGTCTAGTAATAAAATAGTCTTTGATGGCAAAGAAAAAGAACAAATGATTATGTCTTCCCTATATACATGATATTAATTAGTTCCTTAATCTCTCAGTTTCTAATAATAAAACTATCATTCTAAAAGGATGAATCATAAATTTAACAAAATATGTAGAAAGCATGGAGTCATGGACTAGGTTTACTATCAATTAGTTTTGGATCGAAAACTTGATAGAGTGAGGGAGACAAAGAGAAGTACTCGTGGCGAGCAAACATAAGAAAGGTTCATGCAACGAGCAGGAGCTGGCGACCTTAGGGATATTGAGTACTTTTTTCTGGATAATTATATGATCTTTTTCACGATGACTTTTAATTTCTTGTTATGTCATGTAGGTGGACTTATTAACATGTGTTGTTTAATTTTCTCTATCTAATAAAGTGATTAATGGTCAGGACTCACGGATAGTTCTAGGCTTCTACCTGCTAGAGGAAATTCACAATCCAAATGTGCATCCGAATTTAGTATTATAAATATATTTTTTTTGATCCGTTTATATATGACATTTGAATATGTGATTCATAAGCTTTTTATATTTTATGCAGGGAAAATAAAAAAATTATTAGTACAAAACCCAAAACTAAAGAAATTTTAAGTTCCATCATATGTGGTTTTTGATAGAAAAATATCTCAAAATTTAGATAATGTCAGCATCAGTATTTTTCAAGACACTTCTAACAATGAGAACAGTATCACCGGCTCATCTACATCATTATACTCCAAGCATATCTCTCTTTTCAGTCTGTTTAAGTAGTGATAAAGCGAATCAAATTCATCACAACATCCAATTAGATCAAAGAAAGCAAAAGCTCAAACAGAAAAATACAGAAAATAATACATATGTTAACAATTTGGTTTCATCAACTGAACAATTCTTTGATTTATTAAAAGAAAGTGTATTAACTATGAAAAAAGTTCAAGAAATAGTTTAATTAGGTATGTTAAACTACACAAAGGTGCATTGTGTTTCAGAGATGTGATCAAAACCTGTAAAATTATTTTTTCACTCTTGCTTATTCACTTTTAATGTTTATGTCCGGAAGAAAACTACTCCATTAGTTATGAAGTTCCAAACAAATACAAGGGACTTGTCACTGCCTCATGTCCATAACACACCTCGGCCAATGGCACAGACAAGTCTGAATGAACCAGAGTTTGCGACATTTTCAGAGAAGCTTTGCGCCCTGATTTAATTTGTATGAATTCTCACATTCACAGATCTCATTCCGGAGAAAGTATGAAAGCCTCCTACAAAGATTCAAAAGTTCAATTTCCATGTTTGTGGACCATTGTGCAGTTGAGAGAGAAGACATTGACCTTAAAGTAAGCTTATCTTCGTCGCTTCAACAAATTAAAAGCAAGTTTTGTTGCAGAACGTCATGATTTCTCAACTAAATTGTTAATATTATCTTTGGTACAGGCGGTGATGATATGTACTAGAGAGATAACGATAACCCGCCAAGATGGTATAAGAGTACTAACAAATTTATCCAAGATTAAGTGATGTGCTTTACCTAAAACTGTCACAAAATACTAGAGTAACGTCTTGCAAAAGAAAAAGATAATGTCACAAATGGTAAAACTTCATAGAATTTAACTACTTAAACCAAAAAAAAGCAACTGAGATATATAATCTAGCAAACAGATAACACAAGCCCCTGATCCATCTTTTATATATACGTTGTTTCTTCGCAGTAACAGGTCCTTCAGACTCTGAGTTTATTCACTCGGTTTGCTTCTGCCGGTAAGCTATGATCTGAAAGGAACAAACCAAATAAGAAAAAGAGTTTTAGACAGTTGAATCATACTACTTACATAAGAATAATGAATAATACGGAAACAGACTATTACTATTGACGACCCTACCAGATGCTGTTCATGGTTTGAAATGAAATCGACTTTGAGCCTTAACAATGTTTCACTGTCTTCAAGACTTCGCATAGATGCTGCTGCTGATACTGAAGCCACTACAGGAAGATTCTCTATTCCCTTATCTTCTCCTCCTCCTAATCCACTTGTTACCAACAATTCAATCTCTTCAGTCTTCAAATGTATCTGAAGTGCCACAAACTGTTCAACATTGACAAAACACAAGAGCATTTTAGTGCCTATGTGACTGAACTCATCTTTTTTTATTAAATTACATTGAAGAACCAACGCATATATACATATCAAGTGAAATTTGAAGAAGAGCAACTTTCTACTGTAACAATTATGATGTCAAGAGATAGATAGAGAGAGAGTACTCACTTCTCGGAGCTGTTTCACAAGCAAAGTTGGTCGGCAACAGAGATATGGCTGCGATACCAATTTTGTGTCTAGTGAGATAAGCTTGAGATGAATATCCATCTGCAGAGAGAGAGAGAGTAAGTTTTAATCAAAATCCAAGATCACCTAAGAAGAAGGTGATAATCATCTCTTTCTTTGGTTTGGTACCTCCTCAACACTGTTTCCTTCTACATTGCCTCTTACATACTCCACAAGTCTATTCACGCGAGCATTCCTTACACTCTTACTACTACTACTACCTCCCGTATGCCTTGTGTTACTCCTTGTACCCCCTCTTCCCCAAGCAAGTATCTCCGGATTCCACACAAGCCCCGGAGAAATCCCTTTGCCATTGTTGTCTCGAAGATTCACTTCTGTGTCGTTATCTACGCAGCTACCATTGTTGTTTGCACCTGAAGAAGAAGGGTTCTGTGTTGACCGACCTGTAGACCGTTTCCTTCTTTTTCTCAGCCGGACTTCTGCACCACGCTCTTCTGAAGACGAATCTTTATCATCATTATTATCATCTTCATGAGGTTCTACTGTGTCTTGTTCCATGTTTCTGCTGTTCCTTCTCCTCCTTGAGCCACTACGCTGTGGTCTCGTTGAAACCGATGTCTCTTTACCATATGATTTTCTTTTCACAAGAGCATCAGATTGTCTCTGCGATATCTCAGCTATAGATGCTTGAATCTACACAAAAGCCATAACAACTTAGAGAAACATACTTTTAAGATAGTACAGTAAAAGAAGGTTAATGACAACACTCTCCACAGCACAGACCTGCTTGTTACGAGCCTTGTCATCTTCATGAAAAGCGAATTCCTGAAAAAGAAATTAAAAGCATATTAACAGCAACAATCTCTCAGAAATAAATAAGTGAGAACACAAAAAAAAAATTGGTTGATGCTTTTACCTCTTCCTCATAGTTATCAATGTTAGTGAATAAAGCTGCAATAAGAGCATCAAATGTAGGGTCGTCTCTTAGAGAACGGCGACTTGCACAACGTTTCCTGCAAGCAGGACATTCCTTGTTCCTGCAATTAGCAATAAAACTCAGAACGAAGCTTTATGAAAACCAAACACATATGGAACTCCCAAGAGAATGAAAAATATAAAGTAAGAAAAGAAATAAACAAGTTGAGGGCATATACCCCAATCTCATTGACTTATCAATACATTCCCTACAGAACCGGTGTAGGCATTCCATCACTGTCCTTGTTTTCTTTATGATTCCTTGAAAAAAATGTAAAATAAGAAACTCCTATCAGTATTAGTGGGATTAAACTAGCAGTAGTAGGATTATGAGATAGCTGGTGATGTGAAAATGTCAGCCAAGCTATTTTTTTCCTCAGTAAACACAGGTTTAGACATAATTCTCTGCAAATCAATGATATACACAAGAAGATAGATAATATGGAAAGAATGTGAGAATAGTTGAAGAAAGCAATAACATTGGAGCTTTAGAATGAGTTTCATTCCCAACAAGGATGCTAAGTGACCAGCTCTGAGTACCTAAGCATATGGGACACTGAACGTCTTTACGGATTTCCCCTGGATCAATATCCATAAATCTGCATGAAAAAAAAAAATCCAGATATATATAATTAAAAACAACAGAGTTACATCATCTGTGTCAAGACAAAAAAAAAAGTAAAGGTGAGTATCAACTGGAACTTCAAAACAGTGACAGAAAACCAAAAAGAGTTATATAAGACACTTTTGTACGACAAAGGTCAAGTTGACCTGTCTGAAGACCAACTTAAGGGAAGTTAGAAACTGTACAACAGTTCAAGGATTTTTGGGAGCAGCAAAAACTACATTAATTACAAAACATGCAAGCGATACTAAGACACCATGGTTTCATCAGATTACTAAATCAGGCAGAGAAAATTTCAACATTTACTAGTTCCATAAACGGTTTTCAGACAAAACAGAAACTGTAACGGAGAAGAGAACCCATTACAGCAAAACAGATCTACATAGAAAAAGAGAAAAAGAGAAAGAGAGAGAGAGGAATTGTACTCTGAATTCTCTCCTAATGTAGAAGATGGACTTTTCTCCTTAGAATCTGTAGCAATGAGAACCAAAACTCGATCACATGACACAAACACAGTCTATACACAGCAAGAAGAAAAGCGTGAAGTAACGTTTCAACGAGTAGAAACTCAAAAAAACAAAACAAGCTTTACCTTCTTCCTCTTCTTCATCTTCATCTTCCTCTTCTTTCTCATCCTCCTCTGCATCTGCATCTTCATCTTCATCTTCATCATCATCATCTTCTTCTTCTTCTACTACTACTTCTTCCTCTTCCTCATCCGCTTCGTCGCGTTTCACTTCTTCGTCGTCTTTCTTCTCAACCCTCTCTTGTAGATCCTCTGCAGCTTCCGGAACAAATCGGTCGCCTCGTTGGTCTTTAGCTTCGCCTTCCTCATCGTGAATCTCGGCATCCTTCAAGCTCTTCTCCACAGACATTGTAGGAGACAGTGATCTTCCACGAGCTCTTACGACAAAAACAAAAAGGGTTCCAACTTCTCTCTATCTCTCCTCTATGTCTACGTCTCTCGCTTCTCTCTCTTTTCTTCTTCTGCTGCTTCCTTTGTGTTGCGGTTCGGTCCCGATATAGAGAGAGGAAAATTAGGGTGCCGACTGATCGAAATAAAACATCAGGGGTTAAATTTCATTTTGACCTATTGTAGTGGGGCGTTAAGGAAGAGGTTTCTAATTATTGTGGGTCGTCAAAGATTGATTAAGGCAATAAAATAAAGAGACCGCGATTATTAATTTGACTAGGTGTTTTTGCCCGCACATGCGGGCTTAATGATTTTACAAATATCTATAATAAATATGTAACTTATTTAAGTAACATTAAAATAAGTTATTGTTTATATATTCAAGATATTTAATAATAATTTTATATATATATATATATATTATGTTTTTTATCATAATATAATAATTGCCATTACATAAATTAAATTTAAAAACACTTATAAGTTAAAATATTTAGTAATAAATTAATATCAAATTTTAAGATTTACGCAATAAAAGATAATTTTATTATACTCAAATTTGAAATACTCTGGTATACATAAAAATATATAGAAAATAATATGTAGGAATTTGTGTTTTAGTTTTATTTTTAAAATAAGATGACAATTAATTTTTTGGATAACACAATATAAATTATTATTTTTTATCTATAATTATCAAATGAATTATTTTTTTAATTAATGATAAATTATAGATTAACAAATATAATTAGTTTTCAATATTGATAAAGATTTTATAACAGAATATAAACAAATTATATAAGGATAATTATAAAATTAATGAAATTCGTTTTTAATTAATAATTAATTATATATTAACAAATCAAACTATTTTCGAGATTAATAAAGACTATTTAAAACATTAGAAAATATTTTTAGTTAAGGATAAATCTTAAACCACTGAAATTCGTTTTTATTTATAGTTAATTATATATTGAAAATTGTTTATTATTCATTAAGGGTATAAACGATATTAACCACTCCAACTTTTAACGTGAGAGCTCCGTTGAGAAAAATCACTTTGCAAATAATAGTATAGATTAGAACAGTACATTTCGGCCTAAGTCCATTTGGAAAGCCTATTTGCTCAGCCCATTTGTACTTAACTGTGATTTTAAGAGACTAGGATAAGATCTGCGCCTTGCGCAGGACGAAATTGCTATTTTCATTATGTTTTGGATAATGAAACAATAGTTCGGTTTTATTTGGATTGGGGTGTTCAATCCGGATATCGATTTGTTTTGGTTCGGTTCTGTCTTTTTGATTTTTGGTATTTCGGTCAGTGTGTTTCAAAATAAAAAAATATTTAGGTTACTAAATATAACTATTATTCTAAATCTAATTTATTTCGGTTCGGTTCAGTTTATATACAGTCGGTTTTTGTTTTATTAGACTTTTATACCAAAAAGCATTAATATTTAGTTTGAGATCATATCATATATTATACGAATTTTAGAATCATGTTGTCAAAAAGTCATTTATTAAAAAATATTTTATATTTAAATAAAAGAAAAAAAAAACAAAAAAAAATTTATATCCTCTAATAAAATTATCAATTCTAGAATTAATATCAAAGCTCTAAATTTTGAAAATAAAAATAAAATAAAAAACAAATTAGAAGCATGTAAGGAAAACATGTTCCACAACTTTTTTTAATCTTTTATTTTAACATCACTAAAAACCATTTTAATGGTTTTAGAACCAGCAACTTACTATTATTTCCAAAATTGAATTACTTTGACCATAGTATTTCACATAGTTTATGAAGGGTTTCAACTGGATGCTAATTAACACAGCTAATTTCTTGGTTTAAGTTGTTAGCTGAATATATATATATATATATATATATATATGTATATAATTTAGTTTGAATATTTTTAAATAAAAATCTATATTAATACAATTTTATGGTCATTTGTATCTTGTTATTACAAAACAAATTAATCAATTGATCACAAAAATTTCAAAGTGGGATTTAATTTTTTAATAATTTATAGCCGTTTTAAGAAATTCAAAATATAACATATAAGAAAAAATCTTTTTTTTATTATATGGTTAATGTGATTGTTTAATATTTTTTAATAATATAAAATTAAACAAAAAAGAGCTAAGTTACAAAAATTGTTATCGAATATTTATTATTCATAATCATTTATTGTCACAAATACGGTAATCATATTAGGTAATTTCGTAGTTGTTATTTAAAGAAAGTGCGAGAATGTTTGTTGTACACTATTTATCAATTTAATAAGTTTAATAAAAATTATAATATAAATTAAGATGGACCAGCTTATTTTTCTAAATTAATATATAAGGGATGTTACACCTTTGATCATTAATTTTTAACATAATACTTTTAACAGTTTTAGTAATTTATTGTCGTTTTTTAAAATTCAAAATAGAACATATACGAAAAAATCTAAATTTTAATTTAATAACTAATTGAATTGTTTACTTTATTTCAATATAATAAAATTAGATAAAAATAGTGGAGGAGATATAGATTGTTATCAAATCTTTATTATCAGAATCATTAATTATCATTTATGTATTAGCCATATTTGGTAATTCTGTCATTTTTATTTAAGGAAGGAAAATTAAATAATTAATATCATATGATATAACACTATGCTTTATAGTATTAAATGTTTCTAGTGAGATATAAAAATTAAATTGAACCAACATGTTTTTCAATTTGAATGTGAGGCTGACACGTAGGATTAATTAACTATCTAATTGATTGACACATAAGCAAGAAGTCTTTTTAATTTTTACAAAATTGAGGTTACATCTTTTCAAATGTTTCTCAATTAATATATAGGGGATTTGATTGGTCTAGATATTCGGGTCCTCCGATCGGTGTTCAATTTGGGTTCTGTCGGGTTCAGATCTTTTAGATCTTAGCTATTTAGATAGAGATAGTAAATAAGTTGTTCCGTTCCATCTCGTCCCGGACTGTAGTGAGATTATTTTTAAGTGGATTACAGTGAGGTCAGGTCTGCGAGGACTCCGGTCTTCGGAATGGCTACCCAAACCCATCCCGCTATATGTACAAATTTTTGTGGGTTAGTCCATAAGATATATAATAATACACGCAACAGAACGATTCATGCTACTCCAAAACGTTCCAGGCCACTCAAGGACATAATTCAAGTCGTCGATTTAACTAGACATAATTCATCGTCATTACTCTGTTAATTTTTATTCATAACAATAATTGTAATTTTTGTATCACACCCAAAACATATTAACATACTAAGTAAAAATAATTGTATAAGATATATTTTCATTATCTTATAATCCATAGGTTCATAATCAATGTTTTAGTTTGTTGAATCCAAAAATTAAATAAAATCAAACACCAAATCAAAAATGTCAAACCCAAATTAAATAAAAAGAGAAATCAAATCAAAACACTACTAAAGCTCGAATCGTCATCGCCGGAGTTGTAGTCGTGATCGCCCAATCTCCTTACATTTTCTTAGGAGAAGTCACATGAATCCTTTTCTTCTCACTCTTTCTCTCGTAATCCCGCGAGACTCGTTTCCGTCCATCCCGCAAAAGATCCAGACTCGAAAGACCTATCATGGGAGGCTCAAAATTTACGGGTCTAGAAAACCTCGTCCCAATACCGTCCCGCGACAGTTCTTTACGAGTTAGGCATGCGGTCCAGATCCATGATGTCTATATTTAGATTCAATAGGGTAATTAGAATTTGTTGGTTCGGATTTGGATCAATTCGGATCTTAGATAGTTGGATCTAATAGGATATTAGAATTTGTCGGCATGGATTTTGTTTGGGTCCTATCGGATTCGCCCCAAACAAATAGCCAAAAACATAAAAAAATATCTAAAATATTTAAATACCTAAAAAATATCTGAAATTTTGCTCAAAATTTGATCCGAAAACATAAAAATATCCTAAATTTTATCTAATTTTCTGAATTATATTTTTTGAAAATCTAAAATTTTATTTGAAACCTAATACCATACCAAAACCCAAATCCGAAATTCAAAATAATACAAGTAATAGTCAAAATATATTAAAACACATATCTATATATATACCTAATATATACTATAAATTTTGGATATTTCAGATACGCCATCGGTCTCGGATTCAGGTCGGATCTAAGATTTGCGGACCTTCTACAACTAGACATTATTATCACATCACTAATTAGTCTTCTATGTTTTACAAAGTCTCCCTTTTATAACTTCATTTATGTGTTTTGAATATTGGTAGAAAATTTTATTTCAGATTTCAAATTACTTCTTTTTTTTTTTTTAACACTAGATAATTATGCCATTACAAACTACGAGAAATGTTACAGACGATTCAACAGCCGACAATTCTATACCTATCTTATGAGGATACACGCACGCCTGACTGCATCACCTGAGCCGCCCTATCGGATCCACGCTTGACGGTACTCCTTGTGCCATGATGCAGATCTCTTGTAAGCCTTTCTCCATTATCCAATTTGTGAAAATATCATTTTTTCGAGTATTATGATAATAATCAGGAAAATATCTTAGGAAACCTTCTGCCACAGTTTCTGTGTATGAGAAAAGATTTGTTATCCTGATTCTCCAAGTGATCATCATTCTACTTCAATCTTTATCGGATGATAAGTGAAACTAATCCTGAATACCCAAAGAACCTGGATGGAAGTTTATAACTATTAAGAAATATAACAGGAGAAAAGTTTGTGTGTATGTACACAACTCTATAATATATGAAGAGATGTACATACATGTATCTACACAAAAGACCAAACTCTATGATGAGTCTATATAAATGTTATACACATCTATGTAACGCAGAGCTGAGCTTTTTTATAAAGCCAGCAATCTTAAATCTCTATTACAATATTCTTTTTCCAAAATCTAGGAACCAGATAAAAGCTTATCACAAGACTCTTCCTTGATACACAAAAAAAAAGACTCAAACTAGTTCTGTTTTTGTCCCTTCCCGCCAAATTAACCAAATCATTTCGGACACATGATTCAGTTTCTGGACTGTTTTGCCCTCTGTCTGGTGAATTCCTGGAGCTGCCGGTCATGTTCTTCCAGCATCTGATCCACTTTACTTGGCTGAGCCAGCAATGGACCCGACATGTACATTTTTTCATCCTCAGGATCATACTATACGTTATAAAAAAAAGACAGAGACATATATAAACCAAAATGTAAAATAAAAGAAAATAAAGAATCTCTGAGATTCACTTACCCAAGATGGGTCATTAGGGATCTTGATTTGTCTTTTACTATTATCCATAGTGTCAGCTCTGTTGAATGCTCTCAAATTCTCCCTTTGCTGATCAATGATGAGTTGATTCGAGCCAACTGTGTCTACTCCTGCTCTGTATGAACAAGGTATTCTAGGGGCTACATTGTCCTTCACGTGTTTTAACCGGTTTTTCATCATCGGACCAGAGTGTGAGACTCTTCCACTCGTTGTATTGTTGCTGGTCATCTCCTTTGTAATATGCATTTGTCTTGCTGAATTGCCCAGCACACACGTTCTTAGATAAGGATTCTGCATCAGCCAACAAGTTTTTCGTTTAGTTTAAGATTTTGATGGATCTGAGGTAACACCAACACATAGAAGATCAAGCCTATCTGTTACCTCCATAGCCATAGCCGCTGTGAGTGATGGATTAGCTCTCACTGGTGGGATAAGTTTTCTCTCGTGTGATCGTCTCATCTGAGAGTCTTGTCTCTCATGCTTCTCCTGTGTGGTACGTTGTTGCCTCTTGGCATCATCTCGGAGTTTAGCATCAATCTCTTTGCTTGGAGGATATTTTGGTAGAGAAGATGGATCACAAGCTAACGGCTCTGTTCTGAAGTACTGCTCATCAATAACTAACCATGTGTTATTAATAATCACACAATAAAAAAAAAAAAAAAAATTAGACGTAAAGTTAAACAAGCACCTCACTCTCAAGAGCTCTAGCTGCAGAGCCTCTCCGGTCCGGATCTATGGAGAGTAAAGCCTCCATAAGCGAAAGAACATTGGTGGGCAAGTCCTTAAACATCTCTGCTACACGTCGTCCGTAAGGAACGGCAGGTCTAAACGCAGCTGAAGGTGGTAACTTCAGTTTCCTCCAGTAATCTTCTGTTGGTGAACCACATAGCTTGAATATTTTATGCAGTTGCTCCACCTAGAAAACATTATGGTCATGATTGTTTATATGCTTTTTGGATTTTAGATTTTGGTTTTGACTAGATTTTAGAATAAGTATTTCTTAGGACAATTCTCTCAAATAGCTTTTTAAAATTTTTATCACAAAATAACTTTCAAAAAATAAAATTAAATGACTAAAATAACCTTTTTATTTTGAAATTTGTAATATTTATATTTTATTTTAAAATTTGAAATCTTAAACCCAAAACTCCACCACTTAACTCTAAACTCTAAATTTAGATTAATTAATAGATTAGTTAATCAAAAGGTATAATTGCATATTTATCCTTTAATAAAAAATTATTTTGATCATTTTTACTATTGAAGTATATTTTTGTGAAAATAAACTAAAAGTACTATCCAAAGGAATCTTCTTATATTAGATGTTTTTCTCTAAATTAATATCTTTGCAAAATACAAAGTAAAACATCAATGATTAGTGGGTAAAACCAGAAAATGGGATTTAAGTTTTTACATATAATCAGTAGTGAAACAAGGGAAAAAAACTAGTTTTCCTAAAAGCTAAAAATTAGTTTTTCCAAAATCAAAACCCCAAAAACTGTAAACAATTAACTTCTATATTATAAGTCAGCTTATTGGAAAATGAATTTTAGATGGATTTAAGAGTGTATGTACCTCTGTTTTCCCCGGCAAGATCGGTTTCCCGGAGTATAGTTCACCTAGGATACATCCTGTGCTCCACAAATCAACACCAACACCATAATGACAAGCTCCAAGAAGAAGCTCTGGTGGTCTATACCAAAGAGTCACAACACGGCTAGTCAACGGAACACGGTTCTGCGGGTCGAAAAACGTAGCTAAACCGAAATCTGCTATCTTCAAAACTCCATTACTATCAATCAGTAGATTTGATCCCTTTATGTCACGGTGCAGAACACCGCGAGTGTGACAATGATGAAGTCCAGATAAAAGTTGTTTCATGTAACATTTTACCTAGAAGAAGAACAACAACATAACTGAGTTTGATATATACAGAAGCAACTAAATAGTTTTAGTTTAGTACCTGAGGCTCAGAGAACTTGATACCAGGTATGGAAGCAAGTCCGACAAGATCATGATCCATATACTCAAAAACCAAGTAAAGAGAAGATGAAACAGAGGCAGTGATCAAGCCTTCTAATTTAAGTACATTAGGATGATCAAGCCTTCTCATTACAATAATCTCTCTAGCCATAAACTTAACACTTTCTAAATCGCTAAGATCAAACCGGACTCTTTTAAGTGCAACGATCTTGTTGTTAATAAGATCACGTGCCTTGTATACACTGCTATAAGTACCTTGACCAATCTGCATCCCCACACGAAGAAGAAACGTTACATTTAAAATAAATAAAAGAGGTAAAACAAAATGAAAAAACAGAACATGCTTACTTACTTTCTCGAGTTTCTCAAAGGTACTAGCACGTCGTGGAGACCAATCAACAAGTGCTTCACCAGCAACTGAGACAAGCCAAGCAGGCCATCCTGCATCCACTTGTGCTGCAACACTAGGCTGTCTCTTTAGTTCCTCATGTGGTGTAGTGTCTTGGTCTTCATCTTCATCTGTATCACCAATCTCTGAAATCTCGGGATGTTTCTCAGAAAACCTACTAGAACTGAACTGTTCTTTGGCCTCTCTACAACTTTGCTCGTCTTTTCTTTGGCTAGAATCATCAATCCTCGAAGAACGCTTCTCTGATGGTTCCTTCCTTTGTTGATGATGATGATGATGATGGTGGTGTCTCTTCTTCTTGGAGATGATGCAACCCATGAGTTCCTCAAGAGAGTATCAACTCTTCAGGCCAGAACACAACTTTAATGCCCGGAGAGACCCAGTTTCACCATCAAAAACCCACAACACACTGTAGAATCACAAAGCAAAGAAACAAGAATCTGATGTCAAAACACGAACTTTATCAAGAAAAAATAAAAAACCAAGGAAGTGGAATTCGAAGTTGGACCTTGGAGGATTCAGATGGTGATTGATGATCGATGTTTTGAAGACTTTATATGAAACAGAGATGAAGAGAGGTGTGTAGGGAGAGAAAAAAGTAGGATTGGATTTTTCTTGGTTTCAGATTGGTATCATTTGACCGATGAAACACTGCATTGACACAGAGACAGAGAGATGTATACATAATATATAAATACGTCATACGTGTTTAATCATACAGTTAACACAAGCACCCTACGTCCACTGAGACAAAGACTTTTCTCTCTCTCTCTCCACTTATTTTCTTGTCTAAATTATACTACTAAATTGCATTTTTTTTCTTCTTTTATGGACGGACATTAGTTTTATAGTCAAATTTGTTTTATTGACTTTTTCCATTGTTTAATTGGTAGTTGCCAAAAAGAAAAATTGGTTTCTAGATTTTACTCATTTTATTAAATGAAAAATGAGCATATCCTTGTTTTTCAAAAAAAAAAAAATCATTTCTTAAAGTATAAAAATATTTTTTTTTGTACTCAGTCATGGATTTAAAGATGTGAACAAAAAAAATGTGATTATAAGAATACATAAAATACTCATTTTTATATAATACAAGTAAGAGCAATTCTTTCAAATGATCATAATATAAATCTTTTTTTAACCAAAAGAATCCTCAAAATAAATTTCATTAAAGTGTCAAAAGAAGTTTATACCCTTACTTTACAGATATATAAATATAAATATGTATTTAAATGAAAATAAAGCAATATAAAATAAAAATATATATTTTATAATTTTCGAATTATATAATTTTAAATATGAACTTTTTATAAAAAAATTAAACTTCTCATAATATTATTTTGAAATTCAAAATGAAACTATTTTTTATAAAAGTTTAAGTTTCATTTTTTTTTTAAATCTTAAACCCACTCCTTAAAATCTCACCCCTCAAATAAATCTTAAGTTTAGATTAATTAGCTTTAGATATATAAGTGTATATTTACCTTTTAATAAAAACTCTTTTGGTCTTTTAATCTTTGAGAGTATATTTTTGATAAAAATATTTTTAGGGCTATCTTAAATTTTTTTTGTTAAAATAAATGATATATTGTGAGATATAATGAAAAAGATAATTTTGCCAGAAAATGAGTTTCGATCAAATCAATGTTGATCCAACGTATAGTAGCTGAATTACTGTAGAAGAAAAATTGTTTATAAACTCCTCATAATATCAAACCGGGAAAGGTTTCAAATATAGTTGGGGAAAAGGGAAATTAATTTCAGTATTCAATTAATCCCTATGCAATATATGGATATGAATTATGAGGATTTAATAAAGGACCTATAATTATTAATTTGAATTATTATTTAAAAATATTATCAAAAAAAAATTGGACAAAAACTAGTATTATTTCCTTTTTTGAAATTTCTTTTTAATATTAAAATAATTTATAATAACACAGTTTTATAACACTTTCTCACCAAATATCATATATGTTATTAAACTTAATACTCCTAAATATCATATTTAGAGTTGGTTATGGGGTGGATGCACTGACATTACCTTAAACCAGTACTAATAAGGTGCTATAAGAGTATTTTCAACAAATCACCATCTTTAAAGTTTTTTTTCTTGTCAACAAAATATATTTTTAGATTTAAAGAACGCATTGTTGGTTCTCTTCAAAACACTATATGATTTCTATTTTGTTTTGTCTAATTATATATATATATATATATATATATATATATATATTTAACAATTGTGTGACTGATATTTTATATACCACATTTTAGTACTTATTGTTATATTATTATAAATAGTTTAACAGAAAATATTAATTCACTTTTATAATATTTATAGTCGTATTTTAACAATAAAAACTTAGTATGTTTTTATCTATTTATAAGAACTTAGTACTATAACTATTAACTAACTATCAAAATTATTGAAGACTAAATGCAATTATTATATCCAAAATAAATTTAGAGAAATTTTTTAGGGTAGACCTAAAAAAGTTTTTGTCACAAATATAGAATTTAAAATTAAAAATGGTCAAAATAGATCTAAATCTTTTATTAAAAATAAGTAAATATACATTCACATCTCTTAGGTTAACTAATCCTAGACTTTTTTTGTTTAGAGTTGAGTAGTGGAATTTTGGATATAATAATTGTTTTAGTCTTCAATAATTTTAATAGTTAGTTATAATACTAAACTTAAAATTTTTAAAATATAAAAGGTTATTTTGGTCATTTTAGTTTTTAATTGAAGTCTATTTTTGTGATAAAAATTTAAGAAAATCTTTTTTTTTTGAACAAAGTTTATTTGAGAAAATTATCCATAAATTTATGGGCGATAGAATACTATACTCTCAACCTCTTATTTTAAGAGTTATCTTTATTTTAAATGAGAATACTTGTTGGAGATCTGATTGTCTAGGCTTGGCTATAAAACAACTAACATTTATAGTATGGCTTTGATCCCAAACATCAAATACCAGTTTTTCTATATTCATAATCGTCTTTTATATTTCTCTCATGTTTTGGCATACTTTATTCTTTGTTGGTCTTGTGTGCTTTGATTCAAGAGACTCCTTTTAAAACATTAGGTTTAGGAACTAATGACTATCAGAACCATTTGCCGGATTATAGTGCTAGGCGGAGTTATTTTCAGTTATACTTATCCGGTATGTTCTGAAAGCTTGTTGTTTTGTAACTCAAATTGGGAGATGATGTTCTATCTGTTTAGTTGTTACTAATTCAATAGCAATTTTGAAAATATTCAAGAACACAAAATGTTTAAGTAACTTCTATGGTACGGTTGCTTATATTTATGCTTACATATATTTTCATTTTTCATAGGGAACAATGAAACATCAAATAACACAACTGTGCTGATCCTTTGGATAGAAAATCTAATATTTCCAATACCTAAGGAAGCTTGTTTCATTGATGTCAATACTTTCTTCAACATTTCGTCAAAAGGTGACAATGAAATGTAATGGAGTTTTTTATTTGGTAAATATGTAATGAAGTTTTAGTCGGAAAAAAGAGTTTTTCTACTAAAAGAACGAATGATATCCAGTACGATTAGCTTTTCATTAGATATTGAAACTATAAGACACTTTTCATGATCTTTCTTTATTTTTTGAAACTAAACTTTTTATGAAATGTTTTAACCTAAGATGCAATGTTTATATCAAAATTTGTGAGGAATATATAGTCCAATATTGGTGCCATTACTGCGTTACTAGTCAGCAGATTTAAACCTGGTGGAGATCACGTGAGTGTATATATGGACATAAAAATGTTCTTCTTAGAAAAGGAAATTCTCAAATTGCAAGAAAAATGAAAAATACAAGCTGGATAACATCATTTTCGTAAGAACTATTTTTCAAACTAGGGACTTTTACATACATATTCAGAAAATAGAGAACTAAATTAACGAACTACAATACAAAGTACAAATGCTTTGTATTATGAATTCATGTATAATATGTTTGTAATAATGTTCTTGGTTGACTTTGACATTTTGTGTGTTTGATTTTTACGTTGAAAGAAAAATAGAGACAACAACGAAAAAGAAACGCAGATGCCTTAATAATATATGTAAATACTAATCACAAGGCCGACTCAATTGATTATTTATCATCTTGAAACTTAAAATAACCATATGATATCTTGATTATTTTAGTTTGACGTTCCATTGATAACAGCATGCTTCAACGATGCTTGCTCATGCTCTTGTTGTTGTACATCATGTCGTGCAACTACAACAATAATATAATCATAAGGTCCACAACAACATGTTTTTAATCATTCAAAACTACAATTGCAATTTTCGAAAGTTTGCATTTGAAAGTTTTTTTTTCAACGAATCCAAATCGAAAATTAAACTGAAAAAACCGAAATTCTATCAAACTGAATTAGGTTTCACTTTTGATAAAGCCATCAAACCGAAAACCAGAAAAATCAAACTGAAACCAACCGTAAACCAAACGATCCACCCGTAAATAGATTGTAATGTTAATTCTTGGTTGCTCATACAAAGGGCTAACCTTCCGTCTCCTTACTACCAGAATCAGGTTGATGCGGGGACAAAGATCTCTACTTGTTTGCACTTGTTGATGACTCTGGTAAGATAGAATGGATTTGGAGAGCTTTCAGGCTAGTAATTTAGCATTTACAAACAAGGACTTGAACCACTTGGTGGAATGGTCCAGCTTGGAGCTTACACAGTTATGTTGTCTTAGTTTAACTTTCTTTCTCAACACAAAAAGACCTTTCACAACTCTGTTGTCTTAGCCTAGCATTTTTGCAACCAACACATTCATTACCAACGTGTTTTAAATAAAGGACTTTTGTCCATGAATTCTATTTTGGCAACGTGTTACAATTTCAGTCTTTAAAAATTATAAGTAGCCGTCCTTTTTGTTTTGCACACCATCATTGACTCCTTCCTACTAGCTTCTCTCCACCTCTAAAAATCTAATCAATGCATCCTGGAGTTTTTTTCTTCTATATATTAGACCATGCATACAAATGCAAGAGAGCTTTGTTTGTTATAGAAAGTTTGTGGAGAGTTAAAAGAAAACTAATGGGTTTCTTCTCGAATATCTTTAGCTGCTTCACAAAGAACTCATCTGGATCTCGCGATTACATCTGCGACGGTGGTGTTTGTGTTCTAAGAAGCTCCATCAATCCGACACTTGAAAAGGGTTAATACATCTCTATTATCTCAGTTCTTGAAACTTGTTGTTATCTGTCTTCTTTGTATTTTTCTTCCTAAAATGCAAATTGAATTTATCTTAATAAAAATTGGCAGATATCTGTTATTGAATATGGTCTGAAAATATCATGAAATTATTTGTAGTGTTTTATATTTTGATCAACAATTGTATATAATTTTGTTTATTTAAGGTGAAATTTAAATACCTATTGGTAGATTTGGTCATTCCTTTCTTATAAGTAAACCGATAAGTAATTTTTGTAAACCGGAAGACTGGGAAAAACAGGCACATGTAGGCTCTTTTGATCATGTATGAGGAACACTTACCTAAAGAGGTAAACACTCGCTGTCAAAGTTTTGAAACAAAACATTTTTAACACAGAACATAACATTTGTTTTACTCGTAAGAAAAACAACAGTTTTTTTTACTGAACTTAGAACCTCTTCAAGTCATCATTGTCTTTCTGATTCTGCTTCGCCTTCTGCGATAAATCTTCCAAGCCCTTGTCAACATCATCCCGGGCCCTATCCGCCTCCTCACCGGACCCAACCACGGCCTCTGTAACCTTCTGAGCCGTGTTCTTTGCAGCCTCCCACGCATCTTTCACAGTCTCTATAGTCTTCTCCCCAACATCTTGAGCCTTTTCCTTAATCCCATGAGCCATATCTTCTGCTCTCTCCTTTGAGTCCTCTGCATATTCCTTGGCTTTGTCTCTTGTCTCTTCAGCTTTATCTGCGGCTTTATACGCTCCTTCGTTTACCTTGTCCTTAGTCTTTTCAGCGTAATCTTTTGTCTTCTCTTTTACATCATAAGCTTTGTCTTTAGCCTTCTCTTTCGTCTCGTAGGCTTTATCAGCTGCTTTGCTCGCTCCTTCGTTCACCTTATCTTTGGTCTCTTTCGCATAATCTTTAGTCTTCTCTTTGGCATCATAAGCTTTGTCTTTAGCCTTTTCCTTTGTCTCGTAAGCTTTATCAGCGGCTCTGCTCGCGCCTTCATTCACTTTCTCCTTAGCCTCCTCTGCATAGTCTTTCGTCTTCTCTTTCGCATCATAAGCTTTGTCCTTAGCCTTCTCCTTTGTGTCGTAGGCTTTATCAGCTGCTGTGTTTGCTCCTTCGTTCACTCTATCTTTAGTTTGTTCAGCATAATCCTTTGTCTTGTCTTTTATTTCATAAGCTTTGTCCTTGGCATTCTCTTTTCCAGCTTCTGAGTATTCTCCGGATTCTTCTCTCCATTTCTTTGAATCATAAGCTAAATCAGCCCTTGAGTCTCTTGCCTTCTCTACCGGATCATTTCTTCCCTATAGAAGAACAGAACCACTAATCATTCTTTCATGTTTCAAATTCTACTTGATATTCACCTTGATCTCTTGTCTTACACGCTAACCTAATATTTTTTTTTAGAAATACGTTAACCTAATTGTTTGTGGAATCTCATATTGATAAAAAAATTATTACAGCTTAAAAAAAAAAAAAAAAAAATCAGACCAAATTACATTCCAAAAAAATTACATATAGATAAACATAATCTGTAAACAAAGTTGTATTGAAAAATGGGAATCATGAAATACTTATAAAAAACGGTTATGCATCCATCTATGTGGATGTGGTGTATATATAGAATAATTACCTTAGAATGATCATTAACCGAGGAAGCAAAAAAGACACGAGGGGTTTTCCGACCAAGTACCACAGCAAGAGTTCTCGGAGGAGCTCGGCTTATTGAAAAAGCTCTGTAGAAACCAAAGAACGATGTCCTCGTTAGTTGCATAGCCGACGCCATATTCATCAATCAAAAAGAACAGTTTCTTCTCAGCTTGGCTTTTGAAAATATTTTTTGTATCTCTGAATTTTTTCCCGAACCGTCGCGCATTTCTTTTGTGCTTGACTACGTTGCATACTTATAGAGTCACTAAAGACAGGTGGCAGCATGAGATCGACACGTGTTTTTGTAAAGGCAGGTGTCCAAAGTTGTGTGTTCTCCCTCCGCTCGGACCGACTTGTTTAGCCACTAATGAAGCTTGTTCGTTGCAAAAAGTTGAGATAATATTTGTTTGTTTTATTAGCAAGGCTAATGTGGATCAAATGTCATTCATTCGAACTTGAGTTGGGCCAATATTGGATCTTGTCTGTTGAGCTTCGTTTTTTCATAATGAAGACGTTGAGGTGCAGATACATATAACGGATCACTTAGTCATTTCAACATATTGTAACAGAGAAAGTCATGCCAACTATGGATCGTAATCTGATATCATTTTAGCTGCTTAGAGAAATCTGGATGTAAGTATGCAATAATGCAAATGGTAAGGAAGTTATTTAAGGAGCATACAACAGCTATGGGTTTGTATTATCATACTACAAGGAGTGTCTCGCTCAGCTACATCAACATTTGACTCGACTAAGAAATGGCATTTTAGACCTGAATATATGATAAAAGAAGCTACAAATTTTGGTCAATTTTCGAATCAGCTTATAATTCAACTAAAAGCATAAGCCATCAGAAGTCTTCTCCACTACATGAATCAAAACTAAACTCATCAAAAAAACTTAAACCAGCCACTGAATAGTTTCTAGCTCTTAAAACGCAAAAGCTTTTGAATTCAAAGAGTATAAATTCAAACCATCAAAATTAACAGTCTTAGATCAAAATTCAAACAAGACGCAAGGTCCAACAATCTTCTTACATAATGAAATAACGTTTTCTCTAAGACAAAGCATAAACCAGCAAAATTAACCGTTTTAGCTCTTCAAAAAGAGCATATTTGTAGAGCTTTAAAAAGGTAAAAAAACTCAAAACATCTCTTAACATTTACCAAAATCAGGCTTGATCTTCAGGTTTCTTCTCCTCTGCAGCTCCATTAGTCTCTCCTTCAGTGCTGTTCTCCTCAGGTGGCTGAACCTGCTCATCCTCAGGGAGAGGCTCCTCAACATAATCATTCTCAAAAGCATCAGCCGGAACCTCATAAATCCTAACCTGCGGCTTCACCGGATCCTTCACCAAAACATACTTCCCTTCACTCAGCTTCATACACAAATCAACAATCGACTTCACAATACCCCACATATTAGCAGTATTCAAATTAATCTGCCCTGCGAAATCCTTCGGCTTATACCCCAAAACCGACAGTATCACATGGTTAAAATGATCACGAGGATGAACCCTAGAAACAAACCCAATCTTCATCATATCCGCATTACCCAAAAGCGCCTGCGCCGTCCACTTAGCCAACTTATTCCCATTATTCTTCAACTCATTAGCCAAAACCGCACCTCTCTGAGTCTCCAGCTTCTGCCTCCAATCAACACCGGAATACTTCGGATCAAACTCGTTAAGCGCGTTCAAAGTCAAGAAACTCTTCTGGCTATTCATCTCAACAGTACTCTGTAACTCACACCTAGCTACCAGATACATACTATCATCCAACTTCCACCTCCTATACCTATAAGCAACAGAAGCATTCTCTTCACCTTCATTCACATTCGGAATCGGCTCGTCGAAAACCTCCCTCTTCCCGTTCTTAACCAAAACCTGCTGCGCGAAATTCTGGTTAATAAAAGCCGCCTCGAGGCCTAGTGAATGTGCTGAGTTTATATCCTCCTTCCCTTCAGGTAAAGGCTCCTGAGACGTCTCGTGGACCGATAACAAATCAAGAGGAGAACCATCTCTTTTATCGAAAAACAGCTTATTCCCCACGCGCTGTATCACGAGATCCCATGAGTAAACAGACCTCGGAGCACACATGAGAGCAGCCAAGATTGCGTCAGTTGCGAAAACCGTCGCCTTATCTTCCTTAGCTAACCGCCTGATGACGTCATCGTCGCTGGTAGTTACTTTAAATCCACGGTTCTTGAAACGTTCTAATCTCCGCTCGGCTTTAGGAGTGATGCGATCGTAGCTACGATCGTAAGACTCGAGTCCACCGCATAGGAGAAGATCCTCGGGCTCCTGAACGGTGAACGAGAGTTTCGAGAAGGCCGAGAAAGGAATCTGCTCGAGCATATTCCATTCCGGTTGAATATCCACCGACGATTTAAACGCGGCGTTTTCGCGGCGCGTGTGGTGGTTGTGGTGGAGGTTGTTACGGTTGTTATTGTAGAGACGATCGCGACGAGCGCGGTCCTTCTCGGCCTCTCGTTTCTTCGCCTCGACTTCTTCGTCGCGGCGCTGGGGGAGCTGGTTGCGGTTGTGGAAGTTGTTGAATCTCCATTTAGGTCCGAATCTGGGACGAGGCGGGGGTTTTCCGTCGACTAATCGGAACGTTCCGGAGTCTTCGTCGGCGGCGGAGGAGTTCGCGAGGTTGAAGCCTTCGTCGACTGCGAAGGCGGAGAAGTCGAAGATTGAGGAGGGATCGGGTTTGGATCCGGTGTGGGGACGGGCGGAGGGGTTGGAGAGGGTGCGAGTCCAGTCGGCGACGCGGCCTAGCTTCTCGGAGCGGGAGAAGGAGGCTAAGGGGACGTTTGGGAGGAGATTCGCTGCTGCGACGCTTGTGGAGGAGGTGGAGGATGCGTCTGGTGGACCCCAGCCGTCGGAGTTGAAAGGGACGGTGGCGACTTCGAAGGATTCGAATACCATTGTTTGAGATTTTGTTTGAGAGAGAGAGGAAGAAGATGAGTTTAGTGAATAAGACGATTGTTTATGTGTCGTCGACGGCGGAAACCCTAGATTTGAGAGAGACTAATGGGCTAGTGGGCTTTACTGAGCCTTAAAGCCCTTTTAGCTAACTCAATGATATAGTTTTGGTCTGCATTAAATTCTCAAACCGCAGATTGATGGAGGCATTTAGGTTCCGGTTTAGAATCGGTTGAGCTTGGGTGCACTTGTAGCTTCGTAATAAAGAAAAAATATCTAATTAGGTAAGTAAACCCAAGTCCAATTGAATCAGAGTTGAATTATCGAGCCGGTTTAGTTCGATTTAAAAAATTTATTACTGCAGTAATAAGAAAAAAGGAAATTAAACAATACGTTTCGTGGGAAAAGAAATTAAAGATTCTGTTAAGCGAAAATGGAAATTAAACATGAGAGACAACAAAAACAAAAGGAAAATAGTGAACAACTGCACCGACTTCAGTCAGTTAGCTTCTTCTTATAAATTATAACTAGGTTACCCACCCGCACCCTGTGCGGGTATAAAAATATAGTATAATGCTGAGACAGAAGTATCTATTGAGTTCAAATGTGGGACTTAGTGGAACAAGTGAGAGTTTCAATGCTGAGACAAGATTTGCGCAAATCTCTAGGATGCAGTAGACGTGGGCAAATCGTTACATTTTCGGTTTGGTTTGTTTAGTTCGGTTTTAATATTTTTTTTTTCAACTGACATAAACCTAATTTAGTCTGGTTCGGTGTGGTTTATGTCCAGTTCAATTTATATTCAGTTCGGTTTGTTTTTGGATCGGCTTAATTATGTTCTTTGTCGCTTATTTTTTTTAAAAAAAAATTAACATCATTAGTATGTTTTTAATAAAAGTTAACTATTAAAAAAACAAATGTAAGTAAGATATACTGGAGACAGTGACATATTAAAAATGTGATAAAATCTCATAGATATCACAATCCCATAGAAAATGTGATGAAAGTTTAAATATAATTCATAAGTAATATAAAATAAAAAGAACATTTATGAATAAAAAAATCCCATAGAAACCTGCTAAAAAAATTGTCAATTTTTTTAGCAATTGTACAATATAAAATAATTTAATAGATTTCTAAATTTTATCGAGACGAAAATAATATTGAATTTGCATATCGCTATTGAAACAAACTGAAAAATGGTTTGTAATCAACTACAAACGGTCTTTCATCTGTGTTATTTATCTGTTAATATAAAAACAAACAAATGTATATATATATATAGTAAATCACATTTTTAAGATCCATATTTATATATATATATATATATAATTAAGATAATAGTTTTGGATTTTCTAAATCTCAAATCACCATTATATTTGTGGTTTTCTAAATGGATAATAGTTTTAGGCTTTTCTAACTCAAATCACCATTATCATATAAATTTGTTCAAGGTAATTGATAGCAAAATAAGGTAATCATCATATTTCCGAATTAACTAATTAGGAAA